AACTACGTAGGCTAGAATTTAATACTAGGTACAAATTGAGTAGGTACAATGTAGGGGGTTATCTAAATGAAGGTGAGGCTCGTAGCCTAGTAGTTTTTTAGTTGAGTAACTCTCTCAGATCTTTCACTTTAAATGAGTCTTCCTCTCAAGTTTTAACGAGTAACTCTCTCAGTCGAATAGGTAGTTTAATGAGTAACTCTCTCATGTGGGTGGACCATAAATATGGTTGTGAGGGGAGAAGGATTCGAACCTTCGATCTTTGCTGACGTGAGACAGCAGAAAATTTTCCAGGCGCTCCACCACTGCGCCATCCCCCCTGTTTGTGGGACTAGTTGGTATGCGTATGCAGCATTATACTTTTTCGTAGCTGCCATGGTACTGGAAAAGTCTTTACCTGTGTTCAGTGCAATTGTATCCCAATATCAACGCAACATAGTCATTTTCTCTCATTTGGATCAAGGAAAGACTGTAGAAAACAGACCGAGTAGAAACAACAATCCAAGTATTTTCACACCCGCTCCAAAACAACAACCTCACCCTCCGCCCCGCTATCACTACTAACATACACTCTCCCCCGCACATCTACCGCCAGTCCCACCGGCCGAAAACACGACGTAGCTGCACATTCATCGACGTGCTCATTCCAAAAAATATCTTCCCACAGCTCCTCACTGGCATGATCCACGGGATTCGGTCCAAAGACGTTGCCCTCGCGCCGTGAAAACGGGACTTGAATGACTTTGAAGCCCACGGGTGGCCTGCGGTTCCAGCTGCCATGCAGCGTGACAAAGAGGGCAGAGAAATCGACGTTGAATTTTGCTTCCAGCGGAGTCGAGTGTGCAGGGAGTGCTACGCGTGGAGCTATGCTGCGCTGGTTGCACGTGGCGTCGTTGAAGGTGGCGTTGGGCTCAAGGACGAACTGGTCGCCTGTGGTGAAGTTCTGGTCGGGCATGGCCGCGGGCGCGTACACGGTGAAGCAGGTGGGGTAGCCGTACCAGTTTTTGTTCTCGAGGGCTGCGTCGCCAATGTAGTTGAGTTCGTCAGCGGGGTTGTCATTGTGGATGTCGGTGGCGGTGCCGTTGAGGGTGCGGTGGAGGTCGTCGGCCGAGTTCTCCACGCCCCAGAGGTGAGACGAGGCGTCGAAGGCGAGGCCGACTTCGTTGCGGAGCCCGTATCCGAGTTGGTGGCCGGCGGTGGTGTAGTTGTAGCCCGCGGGTGGTGGGGAGGTTGTGTTGAAGACTTTGATGCAGGCCCGCCCCGTCTTGATGTCTATGGAGCCGTAGTCAATGTTTTCGTTTGAACCGTGCGAGACGAGAAGCAGGTTGGGGTGTTTGGGGGGTATGCTGAGTGAGCGTGTGACATGGCCTTTGGTATCCATGCCGGTTACTATTGTCGTTGCGTTTCCTAAAACACTCATTGTGTCTGCGTCGTATTTCCACGCAAACACGGTAGTGGCGGAGCTGGCGTATAGTGTTTTGCCGTCTTGACTAACGACGATGCCATGATTGAGGTTCCGCTGGGCAATGAGTGTCTTGGAGGACTCGAGGCAGCCACTGTCTGAGACTTTGTGTGCTGTGATGCCGAAGCCGTTTTGAACAATGAGGAGATTGCCTGCGGTATCGAAAATGAGTCCTCTCGGTTGGGTCAATCCCCCTGCAACTTTTGTAGCTTTCCATCCTTTAGCAGTGCGTACAGCAAATGCGAGCTTATTGACACCATCGCACGACGTAGGCATGCTGGTTTGAATAGGTCCTGGAGATGTCGAAGAAGTCACTCTCGTACTAGTACTTGTTGGTCGTATACTGAGGACTGAGCTTGGCACTGGAGCACTGCTCACTGCTGGTTGCTCATCCATGAGATTCGCCGCGATCAATCTATCAAAGTCTGCGTTGTGGCCCTGTGTCAGATTGGCCTTGTAATGGCCAAACGAGTTATGCACATCAAAGGCAGATCGGTTGTTCGCTGGCTCAGCGGGTGTCTTGTTCGACACACCATATCCAAACTTTTGCGCAGAGGCATCTGCATCAATGGAGACGGTATTTCCATCAACATCAAGCCATTGGGAACAGCCCCTGCACCGGACGGTTAAGGTCCAATGAGTCTCGTTGTATCCAGTCCCTTTTATGTATGCGTATTCGGCTTCTGGATAGGATATCAGCAAGCTGAGGCCCCTAGTCAAGGTAAGAGAATTGCCCAATCTCTTTCCAGAACTACCTACAATGCCATTCTAGAACTATAGATTGATGTGTTTGATGCACTGTTCACCCAACCAATCGTAAGTGGCACATATGGCATGGTGCCACCCCAACTGAAGCCCACCCAGCCGTTCTTGACTGGAGACACAATTTGCAGCACTGTATCAAAGGGTGCGGTTTTGGTGGCAGGCAAAGCGATGCCGAATGTGATGCCGTTGGTACTAGTCCAGCCTACATAGCATATTAACGTCTGGGAATCGCAGTACCTTTTGGTACACTGTCCTTGTGCTGCAGTTGTTTTAGTTTCTAATATTTTTGTGAGCAGATACACATACCGATACATATGAGAGCGCCTGTTACTAGGATGGACTTGGGAACCCTCATGTCGACTAGACAATGAAATTATTCAGAAGCAAATGTCACATCACAATGGATTTTGGCACCTTATGACATTGAACACTCCATTGAATGATCTGAGACATATTCTTCTTCTTTCAGACTTAATCTAACAAATTCAGTGCATGTGTTTTCCCGCTTTTGACGTACGAACTATATGCCGTTCTTGTAATGTGGAGGTTGTGGGGCAGTGGCATCGTAATATGAACAACGCCTCGCCTTGACTGTTGATCGCTCACCAATGGATGAATCGTTTTCTACTCGGCAGTTACAAAGTATTGCACTGTGCTAACCGTCGCTACCGTAGCCTGTGTTTCGGAGCTTTGACACCACACGAAGAAAAATATCATGGCGCGTCTAGTGCAAAACGTCCAGACATCTCCACATCGAAGGTAATGAGCACCGGACTGATATTAAGATCGAATGAACAGGGTTTCGTTCGGCGAGATGGAGATTACATGATCATTAAATGAGATAGCGACTTTAGCCTCTGAAGATGAGTACTATCCGGGTGATAATGGCCATCATCATGACATACATGTGTATGGATTGACCAAGATGGCTAGCGCTGTGAAACCTCATTTCAAATTGGCGGCTGAGAGGAAAATTGCACTTGTCGCATGTTGAGATATCGAAGAAAGGTGTCTCGAGAAGATAGACCCCTATTCATAACATGTGACCTGTGCAATATCCGCCCCAACATGTGCCATCGACAGCAATGCGCATTCTTCGTAGAAACTCCTCATCATTTCATCAGTAAACGACTCTTGATTGATTTCTTTTTTACTCTACACCACGCCAGTGCCCGGATATATCATGTGACGACCAGTCGGCCAAGCAATGGATCACGGAAAGAGCCGCTTCCGGCCGGGACCCCTTCCCTTCCCCACGTTCTCCGCACTTTACAGTAGGGCCGAGGCTTGAGCGCAGGATGCAGGATGCCTCAGCCCCACGACACCTAGCTGATACCACAGTCCATCATGTCGCGCTCCGATTCTCTCATATTTGCGCGCACAACCCATTCTGAAAGCCGAGGTTAGATGCCTGGGCAGTCTCCCGCGTCACCACCATCATCGTCTTCGGCCTTTTCCCACAATGGCACTGGGCCCATACACCAACCTTCGCGTCGCGCGCCACGACCGCATCTTCGTTATTACGCTCGCCAAAGCGCCTGAAAACCGGATCAATGTTGCTTTCGCCCAGGAAATCATACGAGCGCTGCGCGACATTGAGCGGGAACTGGGCCCCGACTCGGAGGGTTGCGTGATCACACGAGGCGCAGATGAAAAGTTCTGGTGCACCGGGCTCGACCTCGACGAAAACGATGCGAATCCTTTTGCCAATAGCGATGGCTTCTTTCCGCTGTTGGCCACGCTGCTCGACTATCCCTTTCCGACCATCGCGCTGATCACGGGACATACGTTTGGCGGCGCGTGTCCGCTTGCTCTGGCGCACGATTACCGCATCATGAATGCGCGGCGGGGATTCTTCTCCATGCCACCTGTCAATCTTGGATTGCATTTCCCGGGCATTGGGTTCCTTCCCCGACTGAAGCTGAGCCCGCAGGTTGCGCGCAGCATGCTGCTTGAGGCGCATCGATGGACGGGCAAGGAAGCATACCAAGACGGCATTGTGGATGAGATTGCAGAGCCAAAGGAGATGCTTGAGGTTGCGCTGAGAAAGGCTAGAGAGGTTCAGGGCAAGGCAAAGATGGGCGTGTATAGTTTGCTGAGGAATGAACTGTGGGGTGAGGCTGCTGAGAAGATACGAAGCATCTGCTATGTCCATGGGAAAAGAGTGGTTGGGCCCGCCAAGGCCAAGATCTAAGTGCATGCGGCTACTTTCTAAATTAGCACCAACGCAGTCCATGATCTTGACAAGACTTTATCATCATGCATGAAAACTTTGATTCGTGACACAATATATACATGCGAAAATCCAAATCTATGTACGTTCCAGTATTCTAACAAGAGTATTCTCATCGAGTCGTACAAATAGGCAATGTCTAGTAGGTAGGTTCAAGCGGCGGGTCGGCGTTCTTGACGAGCATCTGAACGTACTCGTCGAACCAAGCACCAGCAATGGGCGCGCCAGCAAGACCACAAGCGCCGTCACTCTCACCGCCAGGCTTGATCCAGACAATAGAGTCAATGTTGGTGTTGTTGGTCGAAGCACCGGGGCGGAGTCCAAAGCCAGCGGGCGAGACATTGCACCAGTCGCCCCACTCCTTACGCGCACCCGGCAGCGCCACACGGCCCTGGTCAATAATGAAGTTTGTCGGCATGCCCTCAGCAGCCATGTACTCCCCGAGCGAAGTAGCGTAGTGGCTCTCGTCCCAGGACGGAGACCACTCGGTGAAGTTCTCGCGGACCTTGGCGTTGAAGGGATTGTAGTTGGAGACGTTGGTCGAGTAACCGCGGATCTTGGACGCGGGGTTGAGTTTCTTCGCCATGTCGACGACCTTGGCAAAGATTTGGGCTGTGGGCTTCAGGTTGTCGGCCCATCCAAGCCAGCCTCCGTGGGCGGCGTCCATGTACAGGTGGATATGGGGGGACTGGAGTTTGGAGATTGCGTAGGCAATGCCCTCCTCGTAGATGGGGGTGGCCTTGGCACAGAAAGGCACCCCTTGATTGGTGACGGCATTGCCAAGGGAATCCGGCTCGAGGACAATGGCAAAGTCCATGTCCTGCGCTGCCGAAAGATGCCTTGCGTACACGTCGACAAACTCTTTCTTGTAAATGTTCAAGCCGTCCTTGTCGGAGCTGAGCTCTCCGGCAGATTCACCAGCAGAGCAGTCACGGTCGGGGAGATTGTAGAGGACAAGACCGACAATCATTCTGTTGCTTCCTTTTCTCTGCCTGCGGGCTGCTTGGATGGCTTCGGGAATCTGGCTCAGACCGGCGCGTGTGGTAATCCATGTGAAAGTAGAAATCTTGTCGGCAACGGTGCGGGTGCGTGCTGCGTTGAGAGAGTCGTTCTGGGACTGGAAAGAAGCAATGGTCTGCTGGAGCTTCTGGCCATAGCTCCCGACAACGTAACGATCCTTGCCAGTCCACGGGTTGTCTACGACTTTGCTTTGAGGCGCTGGGGCTGCAGAGACAGCGCCAGCAAGGGCGGCAGTTGCCAAAGCGAACTGTGTGAGTTGGACCATGATGGATGAGAGCTGAGAAGGAACGAAGAGTCTCAATGCGCTTGCTGCTGGAGAGTACGACTGGGAAGTACCCAGTGCCCTTTATAGACATGGTGATGATAGCAACCATAATGGGGTTGCGCGGAGCATGCAAGCTGTCATGACCTGTGTTACCCAAACACTTTGTTCCGGGCCCTTGCATTGCAGTGGCCGTTTCGAAACTCGATCAGCGGTACCGTCGGCCCGCTAGATGCAACTGCTGGCTCCTGAATACGTCCGAGTCTTGGTATCAAGCATTGGCTTTTGCGAGCGCCGTGCCGTCGAGGCCGAGCGTGACGATGGCGCTTCGTTGAAGTGGTACCTTGAAATTTCTTTGGCCAATGCCCCGAACGGTCGTTTTTCCAGGAGCAGAATGTTTGCCTGCTATGGTATATTAGCCAAGAAAACATGTACGGGGGTCAAATGCGGGTCCACAATTAATATATTTGCGCTGTTTACCCGGCTGCCCCATCGGGTGGCAACCCCCACACGGTGGTTCTCTATATGTGTGCATATCATATGACTTTGCAGATTGGCCAATACTGTCAAGCCAACAGAGTTTAGATTGATCAAAGAGTGCAGTGGAGCTGTTGGTTCATTTCGTCCTAGAAGCGACTATTGGAATGCGCTGCAACGAAGGTTCGCTGCATCTTCTAGCGCATCCGTGAGCGGCTGTGCCCTGAGGCTGAGTTGAAAGTAGATAGGCAGATGCCGTCGATGCATGAGATGCAGGTACACCAGTGCCGGTTGGGGATAAACGCAACGAGAGCAATATTGGGTCTACAGCAGACATGGCCAGGTGCAATACATATCAATATCCTACGGGGGCTTGCGGTATGCGTAGTCAAGGTCTGAGCTAGTCGCCTCTGCACATGATGGACATTCTGCGTCTGTAGTGCACTCGGATAACGCCTTGCTGTTGCCATGGCTGTCTGGATGTTGTTCTCAAAGGGGTTGGTTGGGGCTTGGAGAGCCACGCTACGGTACCAGCAGTGCCATGGAAACACGGTGGCAAGCAAACGTAGTCTGACCAACTAGCGACTAACATGGTTCCCAAGACGGAGCGTGTCTCATGGAGAACTGCTAAGAAATAAACTGTCGAGGACAGCAGAGTATCCCAAGGCCACAAGGGCGACTCAGTCAGGGACGCGTCCTTGGCGTCTTGGCGTAGTGTCACAGGACCCCTCACATATTCCCTGTTGTATGTCAGCTTCTTGTCGCAGATGTCCTTAGTGCATGTCCATATGGAAGAAAAAGTCTCGTGTTGTCCTGTTCCGCCCAGTGGTATTTAGAGAGGCGCCATACCCACAAACCTTAACCCACAATGTCATGTATCGGGAGCCTGTACCCCAAAGCATCCTATCTAATTGGAGTACTGGAGTACGTTGGTCGTTTTGTGTCATGTTGCGGATCTGCTGTCTCCACCTGGGGTTGGGCTTCCAGTGTGCTGAGACCAGCCATGTCGCGATTGCCAGAGGAGAAGCCTTTGTTTATGTTGAGGGCCAGAAATCAAAGATGGTCCTACCAGAGTTCGTACGAGGACTACGTAAGCGGCGGCAGGCTGGTGCATCTCAACGGCACGCTCGCTGGTGAGGCATATTCCAGTCTTGCAAGTACGCCAGGTTCGTGAATCTGCTGCTTCTGCGCGCAACTCGGGGTCAGGTCCGACGTAGATATCTCAAAGCAGTCATAACAAGCCAAGATGCCCCCTCGCATCAGAGCTTGCCGTGGGGACTGTCCTTGGGGAGGGTGGTTGGGGGATGGCCAAGTGAAGAGGGCGATAGCTAAGGCGCTGGCTGTGCTCGGCCGAGGGGTGATAGATCAGAGTCAATGGCACCACCAGTATCCAGCAGCTAGCGGTGAGGGCTGGGCTTGTTATTGGCCGCACTGAGTCAACATCAGCCTCCAGATGCGCAGCTGCGGCTTGGAAAAAGAGGCATTTAACATGGACGGGAAGAGCAAGACGCCGTAAAAGGAGATAAGGGGTTGCCGGGCTAAGGGCCAAGCGCACCGCACGTGACCTGCCGCCACCAAGCTTCTCCTTAGCCATTGGCCGACAGTATTGCTTGAACTCTGTTTCGTTCTCGCGTGACATGGCTGCAGCTATTGCTACCACGACCCCAGCCGACAGAGTGCACTTCGCTGTATGGTGCGCGCACGCATGTGTGATGGCCCGGCATCCGCGGGCGCCATGGCTGCTGGGCCAGAACAGCGACACATGTCGTCGCCTTGCCAGCTGCTGATGTCTGCCAGGCTCGTCGACACGAGTTGCGCTGATTAGAGTGAGAGCGTCGCTCCCAGAAGGACGACAATCGGCGCGACGTCGTGCCACAAGCGGTTAGCGTCGGTTTTGCTTGCCCCCGAGCGTCCGCGACGTGTCAAAGACGCTCGACTCGGCTTCGTCATCGCAGCAACATCGCGTTCGCCTTACTCTCCTACCCTTACTGCCTGCCAACTGTGACTTGGATTCCTAGAATGAGCGCCGAATCCAAGGCACCGCGTGTCGTGCCTCCTAGCAGGCGAAGAGACAAGCCCATCTTGAGCTGCACTCTTTGCCGGCGACGAAAGTGAGCGGTTCTGCGCCCTTGTCCAATGCCGACGCCTGCTAACAGTGGTCGAGACTGAAGTGTGACCGCCAGCAGCCATGCAAGACCTGTGTGGACCGCGGGCTTTCCTTATCATGCGCCTATGTGCGCAACACGCCAGCTCCCAAGGAACCAAAGATCCCAAACAGTGTGCATGAACGAATCAATCAGCTCGAGAAGCTGGTCACCAACCTCATGAGCGGGAAAGATGCCAATCATCTCTCGCCTAATGGCGGCCTCATGGACAGGCAATACGAAGATGGCAATTCCGACATCCCCCGTACCCCAGACCGCGTAAAGTTCAGTAGCGAGACGACGAGTTACAGCAACAGCGACCATTGGACGAGTATTCTCGACGGGGTAAGGGACCCTCCAACTGACCTGGTTCTTCGTGTTGAGCATGCTCTAGATTTCAGAGTTGCGCGAACATCTCGATCATGCCCCCTCTTCGCTTGAAGCCAAAGACGAGGGATGTGAAGATATTGCCGGCCCAGAACTTCTGTTTGGGCGGCAAAGATATGCTTCCAAGGAAGAAATCCTTGCTGCTCTGCCCCCGCGGCCAGAGGCAGACCAGTTGATTGACATTTTCTTTGCAACAATGGAGACACATACAAGTAAGTCAGCAGCCACAAACCCAGGGTAGGCATTTACATGGACGGTAGCCTTCTTGCATAAACCGACCTATTACAACCAGGTAAGCATCTCTGCTTGCGTACAGTTGTGCCCTGCAATTGATAACTGCGTAGTATCACAGATTCTGGCTGAACCCTTTCGAAACATCGACCATGTGGATAGCGCTGCTCTACGCTTCTCTTGCCCTCGGTGCTCGATTCCATGCAAGTATCGAAGAGCAACGAATGGGCGATGCCAACTCCGGACCCGAATCTGGCCACAGCTTGTACTCGGCGCGTACCAACTTCTACCGCGAGAAGGCTGTACAGTGCATGATTCTTGCCAACTACACCAAATGCCCACCATTTACGATTGAAGCATTCTTGCTCTACTTTGGCACAGAGTTTCTACGTTCGGTCGATGCGCAGTTCAGCGCATACTTGATTGTTGCTATGCTCATTAGAATGTGTTTCCGGATGGGATACCACCGAGATCCGTCAAGGTTCCCTAATATCTCGCCTTTTGAAGGTGAGATGCGACGGCGCAAGTGGCTTGTGGTAATGACACTTGACTTGGTCACCTCAGCACAGCTGGGGTTGCCCAGGATGATCCAACCGTTCATGTTCGACACACAAGAGCCTCGGAACCTGGCCGAGGGAGACATCTATGAAGATATGACGGGACCAGTACCACCCTCAAAACCCGAATCAGAGCTTACCAGCTTGCTCTATTTCATTCTCTTGTCCAGGCTACGCAATATCCAGGCGCAAATCATAGACATGATGAACGCTACATCACAGCCGCCGTATGCAAACATTACCGATATCGATACCGCGCTGAGATATATCCATGATAACGCACCGCACTCTCCCGACGTTAAAGACATTGTGGATGTTAGCATTCCCATGACGCTACAATCGATGCGGCAATGTCAAATCGACCTGGCATTCCTCAAGGCCGAAGTGATGTTGCACCGTCCGTATCTTAAGCTTGGAAGAGTCGATAAGCATTATGAATACTCTCGAAGGGTATGTCTTAATGCTTCGATGAGGATGCTCTCGTTTCAGTGTAAAATGCATGCCGTATACCAGCCAGAAGACAAGATGTTCTCATCAGTAAGGAACCAACCCATACGATTTGCTTACCGGATATGGCTGACCCATCACTATCAACTAGGGATGGCGCGTGTCTGCGATGAGCAGTCTCTTAACACCGGTCGTTGTCCAGGACTTTCTTCTCGCCACCACCGTTTTAGTGATTGATCTCGACGAAGACTCGACATCTCCTTTGCCCGACTCTCCAAGTGAGCCGGCAACCGGGGTGTCCCAATTAGATAAGCCACCACCGACACGCGAGGAAATTGTCGCGGCCCTACGTTCGGCTTATGGCTTGTGGTTAAAGGCCAGCAAAAAGTCTCAAGAGGCGCGGAAGGTTGCAACAGCCGTAAAGCTAGTACTTTCCAGAGTAGGAGGAAATGAGATGCAAGAAGCCAGCCCTGCAACTTGTGAGTTCTCGTGTAACATGGCCTTGCTTTGCCATGAGCTGACTTTTCCAAGCTAGCAGCAATACAGTGGTGATGGAGCAAGATCGTGTTCATCCATCGCCAGCCTTTGACTTCAACGAATACGGTGCCCCACAACCTGCGCCGAATGTTTCTTCAATGAGCAATGCCGGTCCCCAACCCCCTTTTGCCTATGAACAGATGCCCATGGATCTGGAGACCTTAAACATACCCTTTGATTGGGTGAGTATGTTGTAGTCCCGAAGGCGGCCAAACTCACATCATTTCTAGGATGGCATGCTCTCTAACCTTCAGATTCCGGCATATAGAGATTACCAACGCCCGCTGTTCGAGTAATGCAACATTAAACGCCAGATTTTAGGACACGTAACAATTATCTGGGTTGTTTAAAGAAGAAAAAGAAGAAAGACTCCAATACTCGGGAGTCAATACGTAACAGACTGATGGCACCTGGCAGACGCAGGCGGTACCAATGAGAAGCCGTGGTAATGGGCTAGCGTCATGATTTGTTGCAGTCAATTCGGCTCGTGAAACACCGAATGTTCCATCGAATAAGACGATCTAAGGATAGCAACTCTGCTCATGGGTCGTGCCCATTCTGGATCGACTTGTGTCCCAAAAAGAAAAACTGCATATTGTTTCAAGCATAGTTACGCAATGCAGCTCGAGGACCATGGATCGCAGTTTGTGAATGGTGGTCTCACCAACGTGGCATTCCCGGATTTGTCACGGTGCGAGGCATCGACGATCGCCAACTCCGCGCGCCCATCGAGATATGCCAAAGCCGACGGAGTGCATGCCGTTTGAAAGATCATTGATCTTTTGTTTGTATCGGAGATCCGCGGATCTGCCATGCATTTTCGCAACACGTCCACTACGGTTACCCATGGACTCCAAACGTGGGCAAACTGGGTTGTTAAGAAGACGTGGTGACGTCATGTCTAGTATCTCCTAGGAAGAATCTACATAGGTCGTTATTCGGGATCAATTGCACCGCAATCGCCATGGGTACCTGTGCCCGCCCTTGCATGCTACTAACTACCGGTATCATCACTAGCACTTTTCCAGCAACACGAACACACAGATGGAAACTATCCACGAGCTTGACAGGACATGCTACTCCCACAAGGAGCCGTCCATCGAGCCCGATCTTGGAGACCTCCGACGGTCGACTGACAAAGCTCTACCGGGACTGCCAAAAACACCTAAAAGAGTACTGATGAAGTATCGGTTTTCTGCAGTCTTTTCCATCGGACTTACAATTGCGAGTTTTGTTCTCAGCTTAGTATTGGTGGTGGCAGGGAATCATGCATATACATTTGGAGGACAATATTTGGTTGCAGTAAGTCATCACAATATCGGTACGGAATCCGTAGGCTCACAGCCACAGCTGGATGTTACCGCCAACGCCCAAATTTCGACACGTCAAAATGCGATATCCTCGGAGCCATCTGTCAGCACAAAGAATATAGCAACAGCAAACGTCTATTATGTCTACCTTGACAAGGTCTGCTCTGGCTCTCCAGCACATGGTGTAGGAACCTTCCGTACCGTCATTGAAAGATGCGAAAGTTACTCCACGGCTACTGCAAGTGCGTAGATTACACTCCAGGCACTTGGTATCCCAGGCTAATACAACCGCTCAGGGCTGGCAATGTTGACCTCTTCGGATAACGGGCCCCCCAAGGATTTGGTATCACCCATGGATCTAGTCACCAGGCTGCTTGTGATGACGTCAGATACTCTCCATAGCGTGCGGACAGGCAGTTTGGCATCGCTCATCCTCTCTCTCATCGGGTCCCTTTTCTCCGCAATTTCGTCTGCCCTGGCAATCTTCTTTCCACACTCTCCGCTCCTCGCCTACTCCAACATCTTCTGGCCGCTACTTGCAAGCACATTTGCATTTGTCGCCGCTGCTATGCTAAGCGTCCTGGTAGTGGGCGTATTTGCAGCAGTCAACGGTGCCGTGCATGTGGCCGGTGTAAAGATTGGACAGGGAGGATCGGTGCTGCTTCTCGCATGGCTGGCATGGGTCCTGGTATTGCTGGCTTTAGTGTACTGGGGCCTGGTGTGGTTTGTCGAAGTGAGGAGATGGAGCTTCACCAAGAGGAGGAGAAGCGAAGACGAGGTGGGGAACTGGAAAGGAATAGGGACCGAGGTGTGGAAGGATCTCAGGAAGGATAAAACAGCACTGTATGTCCACTCGATACATGCATAGCTTCAATTTCCATGAATATCCCCGCGCCTTTTAGCGCTTCAGTGACATTGACAAAAGGCACCTTTGGCGCCATCTCTCCCCAGTAACGTGACCCTGACGCCAGAGAAGACGTTGGACAGGTTCCTGCGCTAGTGCTAGCGGAGTGGCAAGCGGAATGTGGAGACCATCAGCCAACCGTGGCGCGACATGGGCCCACCGCCGCCAGCGCCAAGCCCAGGGTCCCCCAAGTGCTCCACAAAACTTCCACCTCTGCCTCGACCGCAGCCCCTCAGTCTCCTCAACCCCCGACCTGCCATTGTTGCGTGCGCCCACCACCATGCGGTCTTCCGTCTCTACCGCCACGCTGCCCCAGAAGAAGCCCGCCGCCCGGGGCCTTACCGCCAAAGCAGAGAAGCCCGAAGAGCCAAAATTGGAGAATGAGCACGACCACTTCTTTTGGACATACACAGAAGAGCCGCACCGGACACGCCGCATGGCCATTATCAAGGCACATCCAGAAGTACGCCGGCCGCCTGATGGCCCCAATGGGCCCTTGGCTAACCCGTTGACAGGTAACCAAGCTCTGCGGCCCCGAGCCGCTCACCAAATACGTCGTCCTGCTGGTCGTGTCGGTACAAGTCGCCTGCGCATACCTCCTCCGCAATACTCCTGTCTTGTCATGGCCCTTCCTGCTCACCGCCTACGCGATTGGTGCCACAGCCAACCAGAACCTCTTCCTCGCCATCCACGAGATATCTCACAACCTGGCCTTCCGATCGCCCTTGGCAAACAGACTCTTTGCTGTCTTTGCAAATCTGCCAATCGGCATTCCCTACAGCGCCTCGTTTCGGCCTTACCACCTCATCCACCACAAATCGCTGGGAGTCAATGGCCTTGACACCGATCTGCCCACCGCCTTTGAAGCCATCTTTCTTGACTCGGTCGCTGGCAAGGCCTTTTTCGCAACCTTCCAGATCTTTTTCTACGCCCTTCGACCCATGTTCATATACAGTCTGCCCATGACAAAGATTCACCTTTTCAACGTTGTCGTCCAACTGGCCTTTGACTACGTCCTGGTGCAATACGTTGGTGGGCGGGCGTTGGGATATCTGATCATGAGCAGCTTCCTCGCTGGATCGCTACATCCTTGCGCAGGCCACTTCATCGCCGAGCACTACGTCTTCGAGAAGCCCAACAAGGATGCCTCGAACCCGGCCAACAAGATTCCGCTCCCTGAAACTTACTCATACTATGGTCCTCTCAACCTGTTGACTTATAACGTTGGTCTTCACAACGAGCACCACGACTTCCCTGCAATCCCATGGACGCGCCTGCATGCTCTTAACAGGATTGCACATGACTACTACAAGGATCTGCCCCAGCACAAGAGCTGGGTGTACGTGCTTTGGCAATTTGTCTGGGACAAGGACATTAGCCTGTGGTGCCGAGTCAAGAGAGAGGAGGGTGGAAGGAAAGTTGGTGCTGCAGGCGGATGGAGCGAGGAGGATTTGGGCTCAAACGAGAAGAAGGGCCCTATTCCTGGTGTGTTGTAAAGTTTTGTGCACCATTTGCATGGCAGGCGTTGTGAACGGTATGGTATTTGGATAATATACAATTTAGAATCAAGACTTTATTACACCCCATGTCTAAGCACAGTTTCTTAGTATGGGTCATCCGTATGAATGAGTGCAACAAATCAAATCATGTGAGATAATTGTGTGGATGATACAGCCCAATCAATTTCATGTTAGTAGACCGGGACGCTGTCAATGATGCTTACCATTGCATGCTGTGACTGCAAAGACATGTGTCCAACTTTACTAGGTAGTCTCGTCAATACATTTTTAGACTTAGTTATACAATGTCTCATCATTTTAGTTCGTTTGCTACGAGTCCCGTTACACTCCACACACGCACAACAATAAAACACAGTAATGTCATGCAAAACTTGCTGTCTCATAGGCAGCTGCAGTGTTAAAAAGAAAGCATGGGTTTGTACATGATATTGGATTGCTGGTACTGTTGGACTGCATGGGCTGGTAGACATGGCCAAGTGGTGCTGTGGGTTGCTCTCTACCTTTTTACCTTGTATGAGATTGAGATTGAGATGGTGGATATTCGATATTCGACTGTTTGTAGACCCACCGTAGTACAGCCCATTGGCGGACTATCGCACATCACTTTCTGAATAGGCAAACTTGGCGACGCGCTGTCGTTGTGAGTTCTGGGATTCGCCCGTCCACGTGCTTTACGGGAGTGCTTAAGTGTGCAAATTAAATATATGCATACATACATACGCTCCACTGGTTGAAAAGCTCGAGCTGCTTGCTATATTTACTAGGAAACCAACCTGTTGCCAAGTCCAACGCGCACTTCAAATTTCTACTTTCACCCCCCAACCACTTGGATTTTTCTCACAACTAGCACTCACCAATCATTGCTCCCCTCCTTGTTTCAAATAACCGAGCCAGATCAATGGGCAGTTGCAGAGACTATCGAATTCCCAGTCCATACAGTTCATATAGTCCAAGGCACAGATTTCACACGCCACCAAGATCAATCTCAGTACCTGTGTAAATATCGCCCAAATGTGCACGTCACACATCCCACCCACACCTCTCAAAGTGGTAATCTAATCTGTTTGTTTTGCAAAAGTCACGCTCACCGCGCGTATCCATGAGGTGCTAGGCCGCGCAAAATCCAAGGTGAAGCCGACTGCAGCCTTGAAATTGCTTTCGCTCTTGGAGACGTCACTGGTTTTTCTTCGTCTCACCGTGAAGTGAACTTGGCACGGTGCTATCTCCACACGTAAACAAAGTCTCCCGCTTTTGCTACTTCTCGCTGTTGCTCACTGCTATCTCGAGTTCGTGTAGTAGCACCTCTTCCTGCCTCTGCCTCTGCCTTGTCTCTACCACGCCCACACAGTCGAACCTCTCGCCGGATCTCTTCAGCCAAGAACCTCGGAGCTGCTACCATCATGGCGCGCCGCTTCAAGACTAACCTTGGATTTAGGGGTCGCGCTGCATCTCCCGCGCTGTCGGACAAGTCGAACGAGTCTGATCTTGAGGCTTTGTTGCGTCCCTCCAGTTCCGATTCTGACTATGATGACGAGGACATCTTCAGAATGTCTCCAGTCAAGAACCAGCCCGATTCTCACGCCTTAGGCACGAGCGTTCCCCCTATGAAGTTCCCGTTCCCGCTGGGCCCTTTGTCCAACTACACTACTCCCAACGGTCTCGAAACCGAGTCTGAGAAGCTCAAGCGCACTGGTGGACGCTCCGGCTATGTCCAGGCTAGAGGCCATTCTCCTTCTCCAGATAGGTCAGTGGTTGTTTACTGAGGCAGTTGGCAGTGTTGACTTGTTGAATAGGTCGCTCAAGAAGCCGCGCATGTTCCAGCTCCAGCAGCACAACGGCATTACGCGCATGCTCACCCGCAACAAGCTCGTCTCCAACAAGCTCATGTCTTCCGCGTCGGTCCCGACCCAGAGCGGCGACGATGTCAAGGCTCCAGAGACTGACAAACTCGGAGATCTGGATGTCTTGCCTATCGAGGTCCGCGAGCACATCTACGCCCTCGCGCTCGACATCGGCCGCCCAGTCACCATCAAGAACTGTTGCACGCCGGGCAAGACACCTCGTGAAGTGAGCAGGTGCAGCAAGCACGGCTCTCGTGTCAAGGCCAACACGGGTAGATTCAACATGCTGTACGTATGCAAGGGCATGCGTCAAGAGGCCATGCAAGTCCTGTTCACCAAGGGCTCCATGCTGCTGCACCCCGATCCCTTCATGGAGGGGTACCTCAAAGACTGCCCTCGATCCAACTCGCCTCGCCGCATCGACAACTTCATGCAGCGCGATGTCCAGGTTGCCGCCATGTGGAACACCATCTCGCAGTTCCGCTCCATCAAGATCGAGGTCTCCACGATGCGAGTCAACATTGGCCACCCGACGCAGTTCGCCGAGCGCATCCTCGCCATCACGTCCCTGCTGTGCAATGAGGAGACAGATCCCGTCGAGATGGCCAAGCAGTCGCGCACCCTCAACATTGGCGGAATCTTCGTCCACAAGATGCCCTTCAACATGCGCGAGGCGGAATTCACTAGCTATGACCTCGTCTTTGACTGGCTCTTCACCGACTACCCTGAAGGCAGCCCTGACATCAACAGCCTCGCCGCTGAGGTCATGCACAGGCTGCACCGCATGGTCGCTGGCATCGGCAAGCACTCGCATCACGCGTCTTGGACCATCCTCGTCAACAAGAAGCTCAGGGACAACGAGGAGGGTGGCCAGCAGGCGCTGGAACAGTTCGAGCATGCTTGTGACTACCATGGCGTGGCGCTCGTTCATGCCGAGTAGTTGCATTGAGCTGGGTATGGTTGCATCGCACTGCGCATCTGGCGTACAGTTCAGCATCTTGAGGATTTTATGGCTTGGGATTCGATACCTTTTGTAGTAGTCGTGGTGGTGAAAAGGATCAGGGGTTCTCTCTTCAAGTACTGAAATGCGGTGGATGGAATCGTGTCTTCCTTTGTTTTCCTTGCCCTTAGGGTAGCTTCGGCTTGCACTCGACTGGTTTGCATCAGAATCAGGATCTGAGTATCATGAATGGAAACAAAATGTCATTTTGATCTTACATGGCCATGGAATGAACGTATACCGCTGTGCTGCAGAAGAGAAATGACGACATGAAGTGGCACCGAGAATCATCACGTGCTAGCTAGCAAGAATGTATGCCGAATCGGCTCACATGTTGCTTGCACGTTGCATTGTGACTCGTCAAGACCAAAGTGATGCCAGTCTATTTTCTGGTTGTAAAACTGATGGAATTCATGGTCAAGGTAGCATCGTGCATATCCGTAGTCAACTTTGTCGCATGTCATCATTCGTATCTCAGTAGACCACAAGCTCCCCTCTCAGTCCACAACTACCCCAATAGACTCAACTTCTCAAACGCCTTCACGACCGGTGCCTCCCGCTTCTTGCCAATTTCCTGCAGACTATCCCACAATGTAGCATCGCCACCAGTCGGCTTAATTGCATCCACGTCTGCCTCACGCATTATGCCATTCTGAGCAGGCGATGCTGCAGTAGCAGGTGGATACATCTCCTTGACGGCATCTTGACACTTCTCCATCACTTCACTGACAGCGTTGGACACAGCATCCGCACGCTCTCTCATACCCCGCCTGATGAGGCCCTCAACAAGACGCTGGATCTCGTCTTGCATGCTGTTGATACGCTCGATCAAACGCTCAATGGAATTTGTGAGGTATTCTTCCTCGTAGACTGTGCCCTTCTTCCCCCGCGCACGCTTCCGCTCTTCGCGGCGCTTGTTCTTGCTAGTCTTGCGTGTCGTTGTCGTGTTTACGGTACCAGTCTGGTTCGTATACCGTGTCATGAATGTGCCTCCAGAGGTAGTATCGGTCGGAGCAAGGGAAATATTGTCAGGAATGTTGGCGTCACCGCCACCATCAATCATACCCTCGTAGAACGCCATTGGATCTTCTGCCTTCTTGGTCCTCAGTTCCTTGAGTCGGGGCACCTGGGCTTGAAGCTGGCCTTTCATGTCGGCAAGGAACTCCGTCATGTCTGCACTACGCTCGACGAGGCCCGGATCGATGACTTCGGGAATGAGGTTCGTTTCGCGGCGAAGCGTGACAATGCGGATAGCTTCGGCGAAATAGCAGCCGCGACAGAATAGTCGAGCCGCAGATGGAAGATCCGATAGGTAGTCCAATGTGATTGTTGCTGCAGAGAGGTAGTCCTTGGATTCTGACAGACCTTCTGCCATGTCTGTTGCAATAGAAGACAACTCATCAGCGCTCACTTCAGCTAGAGTAGCAGACGACAACGCTTCGCGCCAAAGATTAGCTGAGCGGTAACATGGCCATGCAGACGAGTGGTCGCCAAGGTATTCGTATGCCAGAGCTGCCCCCTTGTTCTTGTTGTTTGTGCTCAAGAAGTCTGCATACATACGCATGATCTCTCTGAGACGGGCATTGTCGTACTGGTACATGGCCAATGCTTCCGAATAGAGATCATGTTTTTGTACGTATTCTTGTACTTCGCCAAAAGCTTGAAGGTCGTTCAGATGCCTGAGTGCCTTTGCCCGGCGCCCGAGTTGGTCGTCAATCCTGAATTTGCGACGTGTCTCAGGCAGGTCTTGCAACGACTGTAGATGCGGAAGATATTCTCGCGGGTCCTGGCATAGTCAGTAGTGTATGGAAGAAGTACGGCATATGGAACTACCTTCTGCGACTGTTGTGCAATGAGCAGGGCCAGTTCAAGATTATACAACCCCAAGGACGTGTCGTAGAGTTGGTTGACGTCGGCAAGGAAGCAAATGTGCTCCGCGGCTTTGTCGGTTAGGGGATCGTTGGACTCTGCATACTGTTATCAGCATGTCTGAGATCAAACTCATGCTACTTACCCTGCAAACGACCTATCATGTCTAGTCCTGTCTCGAGAGCTGGAGGTGTCTTGGACACATGGGCTGTGATGATATTCTGCAAGTGGGCCTCCTTGTACTGAGGCTGTTCCAGCACGGCGAGGAAGGCATCGCAGATTCGGTTGACCTTATTCTCCACTTGTTCTTGTGACAGCTGTGACTTATTGACCAAATCTTTCGTTTTCAGAGTCTCCTTGTACATTGTCTCCGAAACATCCTCATTGCTACATATATTAGTCATCATATTCTTGACAGATCACACTTCGCTTACCGAAGCTGTGCTAAGAGCAAGTCGATATGCTCCACCTTCTTGATTTGCATAATAATCTTTTCCAGGCTCACGAGAAAGCGCTCGGGATCGTGGTCGTGAAGAATGTTGAAGTCTACACGCTGGCTTCTGCAAGCAAAAAATGCCTCGTCATAGCGTTCCGCCTCGATGCTTCGCCGTATTGCCGCAAGTACAAGTGCCCGGGGGTATATTGTCTCCAGGTTACCTCTAGGCATTTGAAGCACCACAGAGTAGGTTGTAGGGATGACCGTGACAATCTTTGCACCTCTCTCGATACTCCTGCATCGCTCATCCTTTTGTGGTTCGTCTGCAGGTACTTCGAGATCTAAACCATCAGCATAGTTTGCGGAGTGAACAGCCGTCTAAGCTTACCGTCCATATTAGCAAGATGCACAAACTTTAGCAGATGTTGAGTCGTTGTGAATACAAGATGCGCAGGGGTAACCACGAATGATGTACAATTACGAGCCAATATTCGTTCGTTGGCGAACAAGGCACCGCTCTTGGTCAAACCAAAAGCCAATGTCTGCAGAGTTAGCAGTTGCCCAGACCGAATGGTGGATGACACACATACCTGCCCTTCAAACTTGACCACTTGAACTTCGGGTGCAAACGAAGGAAACTTGTTCACAAGCGATGTTTGAGGAGGCAGATCTGCCATCGCGTCGTCTGCACTAATTTCATGCAACGCGCCATTCTGGAGCAGAGTATAGAGAGCCTCATTATCTATGCTGGAGACTAGAGTAGAAGTACGGTCAGTCTCGACTATCGGTCCCTGAGGCAATAGTGTTTCGCCTTCAGCACGCCAAATCGAGCTCTCGTCTTCGTCCCAGTTGTCTGTCAGCACAAATATCTGATCGTCACCAATGAATGTAACATGGCGCGGAGAGTGGTCTTTGATCGCATCGCTTTTCCAGAGGGACACAGGCTTCGGTACAGGCCGTTTGTTGAGATCGAGCGTGTATACCGAAAGGCCATGATGCGAGAGCACAGCCAAGTGAGTGCCCGACTTTGACAACGCAACATCGATGGTCTTGGACTCGAGTGTCAAGCTCTGAAAAGCCATTGGAGGTGGCACGTTTGCAATCCGCAGAGGCGTAAGTTTCAAAACCACTAAAAGCTATCAGTATCGGGGCTAGAAAAGGCATGGCGCTGAAGACTTACATCCATCTATGGATGCAACCATACCGAAATCATTGGGCGGTACAACTGAACCAGCAGACATAGTTGACGCATACTCCAGCACCTGAAGTGCACCTAGATGACTTTAGTGAACCGTAAGAAGTGACTGAGCTACTTTGCTGACCTGGAGTCGAAAGAGCTAGTGCCAAAGGACGCTCCGAATGCCAGCTGCACATGACCGTTTGCGAGGCAGCTTCTGGAAACGGCAATTCTTGCTTGAGGTAGTAATGGTAGTTACTCATTGTCCATAGCTGAACCTTGTCTGGATACGAAACGGCCAGCACATTCGAGTCACTGTTCCATGCAAGAGTCAGAGGCTTTGCGAGTGCCGTCAGCTCCTCAGGGGTGAAGCGAAGATCAAATTGGCCATGACGAAGACCATTCCGCTCGAAAAACACCACCTCAACCTTATCGTTGGTACGCCGGGTGCTGGCAATCAAGTTTCCAGACGGCCGCCAGCTGAGCGCTCCTTCTAGGCCATCAACAGGCTCACTCACACTGTCTAGCTGACCTTCTCGGGAGAAGACTCGAATCATGCGGCGCCGCTCTTCTTCAACTTTGCTCACGGCAAACCAGGCGCCGTCACCTCTCCAGCTGATGGTGACGGAGCGATCATCGAGCGGGCTTAGTACACCCTCGTCGATGGTCTCTGGTACTGTGGGATCCTGCAGTGCTCTAGCCCGCTTGCCTTTGAACTGCGTCTCTTTCTTTCCCCATCCCACTGAGACATGGCTAGATACGTTGACATCTTCCGGGGTGAGGTCAATGCTCGCTATGTTTTCGATGTCGCGACTCATCAGCAGCAGCGTATTGGCCGGAGTGGCAATGGCGAAGAGTTCCTCATCCGGCGACCAGGCAGCGGCAGAGATGCCTGCATCGACCGATCCAACAATCTCCACTAGCTCTCCATTCGAGGCCGGATTCTCTCTGACCAGGACGATATCCCCTCCCGCCAGAATCAGGCATGATGTCGAAGTGTCGGCAAAATGGTGGAGGCTCAAGATAGCGTCATGGGTAAGCGAGGGCAGCGGACACGGCGCATCCCACGAGGCGATGCTTTCGAGCTTTTCCTCGCCGCCGGTACGTGCATGGTGCAGTCTCTTGAGTTCGATGGTGGCACGTGATTGCGAAGGCCCAAAGGCGCATATCAGTGCATTGGATGCAGCGTCCCAGGCAGTGGCCGTTAGTGGGAGGGGCTCTTCTCCGGCAAATCGCAGAAGCGATCTCCCCACAATCTTGAGATTGCGCATCGCTGGAGGCGCATAGGTTTGGTGACAGTTGGATGTGTGTGTGCTTCAAGGCGCCGATATTTGACGGCTGTGAGTGGTCGCGAATTTTTGGTGATGCTAGCGCCGAGCTTCTACCGAACGGTCATGCGTCACATCATCACAGCCGACGTCGAAGGTGTTGCGAGCAGACGAGCCATTGAGCCGCATTGGCGCCGGGCAGTCGTTGTGCATTCTTCGTGCATTCGTGTCTCCTGCTGCTTCATGCTTCAACCACCCTCTGGAGGGGTATATTCTGCTTGCACACTGCAACGTCGCGCGCCCCACGCAGCCCGCCATTGTGCAGCGGGTTAGCACCACAGGATTCAATTCATGTTTCAGCAGTTGAGCGACAGGCAATGAAATTGATGCTGTGATGTCTATACAGTCGCCCCAGGCGCCGCCTAATATTCTACAGACACTTTGTCCTTGGCGTGCCCGAAACCCACTATCACGCTGCAAGAGATTGCGCCTATTTGTTCTTCTTGGTTTGCCAGACTGTAGTAGCAGCGCAGTTAGCTTCGTGCCAATGTCTCGCACGACGGTCGAGGGAGGCTCACCGGCAAGGAGGAAGGGAAGGGAGAAGCCGGTAGCTGTGTGCATTAGCCTGCGTCCTGCCACGACATGCCTGCAGACCTCACCCATGAATCCCCAGTACTTGAAGGCAAAGCCCTTCTTCAGCGGATCAAAGGGCAAGTTACTGCGCGGGCCCTCGGGGTAGTGGTACGGGCTGGACATGTGGGCGCGGGTCGACTGGAAGCCGCGGCGGGCGACGAGAGTTGGGGCCGAGGCGGCGCGGAAAGTGGCACGGGCGAGCATCTTGGAGCGTCAGTGAGGGTTGCAATTGGCGCAGAGACGGGGCGTACTTTGGCGGTGATGTGGAGTGGAGAGGTTGCGGAGCTGTCGTCGCGGTGGTTCGATGAGAGCAGCTTCCCACGACCGCATGGCTTGGCGGCAGATGCCCGGGTGGTCTGTGCGCCATACTTTTTTGATCTCGCCCATGGCCACCCCGTCATCGCATCGCCGGTGAACGACACAAGCACTGACCTCAGCAAGAGAGCGCAACCACATCTGCCCGCCATGGATGATGACATGTTTGACGTCTTCGAGGGCGGCCCGTCCAAGGACGCCGCGCCTCGCAAAAACAAGAAGCGACAGGCCAACGGCGACGTCAAGTCGCCAGTACCCGTGGAAGATGCGTCCATGTCGGATGCACCCGCAGCAGCGCACGAGGGCGCAAACGAAAACGAAAACGAGAACGGCGCAGCAGAGAAGCTGAAGAAGAGGCAGAAGCGCGATGCCGAGCCCGAGCCCATTGTCACCGACGACTTCGAGACGGAGCAGTCGCGCGAGGTCGCGGCGGCCGCTGGACTGCAGGCGCAGACCCAGGACGGCCAGGCAGTGGTGCTTTCGCATCAAGTCCGCCATCAAGTTGCCCTGCCGCCAGACTACGACTACGTCCCTATTTCCGAGCACAAGGCCCCAGCAGAGCCCGCGCGAACCTGGCCCTTTGCGCTGGATCCTTTCCAGCAGGTGTCCATCGCCTCGATCCAGCGCAATGAGAGTGTCCTCGTATCGGCACACACGTCGGCCGGAAAGACGGTCGTGGCAGAGTACGCGATTGCGCAGTGTCTCAAGAACAACCAGCGAGTCATCTACACCAGTCCCATCAAGGCGCTCAGCAACCAGAAGTACCGAGAGTTTATGGCAGAGTTTGGCGACGTCGGCCTCATGACGGGCGATGTCACCATCAACCCCACTGCGACATGTTTGGTCATGACGACCGAGGTGAGCACCCCGAGAGCCCAGAGCTGGCGCATGCTGATGGCTGCAGATTCTCCGATCCATGTTGTACAGAGGCTCCGAGATCATGCGCGAAGTCGCGTGGGTCGTGTTCGACGAGGTGCACTACCTCCGCGACAAGTCAAGAGGTGTCGTTTGGGAAGAGACCATCATCCTGCTCCCAGACAAGGTCCGCTACGTTTTCCTGTCCGCCACCATCCCCAACTCAATGCAGTTTGCCGAATGGATTACCAAAACCCACAACCAACCCTGTCACGTTGTGTACACCGATTTCCGGCCGACTCCGCTGCAGCACTACTTCTTCCCCGCCGGCGCCGACGGCATACACCTGGTGGTGGACGAGAAGGGCGTGTTCCGCGAAGAGAACTTCCAAAAGGCCATGTCGTCTATCGCGGACAAGGCTGGAACTGACGCGAAGGACTTCATGGCGAAGCGCAAGGGCAAGGGCAAGGACAAGAAGACCAACACGGGCGGCAATAGAGAGCAGACAGACATCTACAAGATTGTCAAGATGATCATGGTCAAGGCCTACAACCCGGTCATTGTGTTCAGCTTCAGCAAACGAGAGTGCGAAAACTACGCCCTGGCCATGAGCTCCCTGGTGTTCAACGATGAATCGGAAAAGGCCATGGTTACCAAGGTGTTCAACAGCGCCATTGAGATGCTTTCAGAGGAGGACCGAGAGCTGCCGCAGATCCGGAACATCCTCCCTCTTCTTCGGAGAGGCGTTGGCGTCCATCACTCTGGATTGCTGCCGATTCTCAAGGAAACCATTGAAATTTTGTTTCAAGAGGGTCTGATCAAGGTGCTGTTCGCGACCGAGACCTTTTCCATTGGACTCAACATGCCGGCCAAGACGGTGGTGTTCACAAGTGTGCGCAAGTTTGACGGAGTTTCACAGCGATGGGTGACGCCTTCAGAGTTCATTCAGATGTCTGGTCGTGCCGGTCGTCGTGGTCTTGATGACCGTGGTATCGTCATCATGATGATTGACGAGCAGATGGAGCCTGCTGTGGCCAAGGAGATTGTTCGTGGCCAGCAAGACAACTTGAACTCGGCGTTCCATCTGGGCTACAACATGATCTTGAACCTGATGCGAGTGGAAGGCATCTCGCCCGAGTTTATGCTTGAAAGGTGCTTCTATCAATTCCAAAGTACAGCTGGAGTCTCGAATCTGGAAAAGCGTAAGTGTTGTTCTCTGTTAGCCACACTTCATTGCTGACAGCGCTGTAGAACTCGAGGAACTCGAGGCAGAAAAGGCGGCCATGAATATCATGGACGAAGGTACCATTAAGGACTACTACAACCTACGTCAGCAACTAGACGCACATACCAAGGACATGCGCGATGTAATTATGCATCCCAACTACTGCCTGCAATTCCTGCAAGGCGGCCGGCTCGTCAAGGTCAACTACAAAGACCACGATTTCGGGTGGGGTGCAGTGGTGGCCTTTGCTCCCCGCAAGGCGAACAAGGGCGAGGTCTTCCCACCCCAAGAGTCGTATATTGTTGACGTTTTGCTGCTAGTAGGCAGCGATAACAAGTTTGCCCCCACGGTCAACGATGGTCTGCCTCCTGGAGTGCGGCCGCCTGCGCCGGGAGACAAGGGCAAGATGGAAGTGGTTCCTGTAGTGTTGAACTGCATTGAGTCGATTGGCCACATCCGGGTGTTCCTGCCAACCGATCTCAAGACGGCGGAGCAGAGGAACAATGTTCGCAAGTCCCTCAACGAGGTCAAGAAGCGGTTCCCAGACGGCATCGCCATCCTGGATCCCATTGACAATATGATGATCAAGGACGACAGCTTCAAGAGGCTTCTCAGGGTGCGTGTATCAAGGCCACTCGCAGCATGCATGACTAACGCGAGACAGAAAATCGAAGTGCTGGAATCCCGTCTGCTCACCAACCCTCTTCACAATTCGCCGCGGCTGCCTGAGCTGTACAGCCAGTATGCCAAGAAGATTGCCATGAGCGAAAAGATCAAGGACACCAAAAAGGAGATTGCCAATGCCTTGTCGGTGATCCAGCTGGATGAGCTGAAGAGCCGCAAGCGTGTGCTGCGGCGACTCGGCTTCATTGACGATGCCGATGTGGTGCAGCTCAAAGCGCGCGTTGCGTGCGAGATCAGCACGGGCGACGAGCTTGTTCTCAGCGAGCTGCTGTTCAACCGCTTCTTCAACGAGCTGACACCCGAGCAGTGCGCCGCCTGTCTCAGCTGTTTCATCTTTGAGGAGAAGACACAGGACGTGCCGGCGCTCAAGGAAGAGCTGGACAAGCCGTATCGCGAAATCCAGCAGCAAGCCAGGGTGATTGCAAAGATGTCACAGGAGAGTAAGCTGACGTTGGACGAGGAAGAGTACCTCAAGTCGTTCAAATACGAGCTCATGGAGGTTGTGTATGCGTGGTCAAAGGGAGCTACGTTTTCGGAGATTTGGTATGTTTGGGCAGCTGGGCGCTCGTGGCAGTGGCTAACTAACGTGTCGCAGCAAAATGACAGATGTGTACGAGGGCAGTCTGATCCGCCTCTTCAGGCGACTGGAGGAGCTGCTCCGGCAGATTGCTCAGGCGGCCAAGGTCATGGGCAGCGAGGAGCTCGAGCAAAAGTTCACGGCGGCGCTGGAGCTCGTCCGCCGGGACCTGGTCGCTGCCCAGTCTCTTTACCTGTAGCGTGTGTTTTGTTGGGTGTTTTTCTTTGTGTAGTATAGCCGTGTGTTGGGAGTTTGGGGTAGCGCGTTTGACCTTGCGCAGGTAAGTGAGGTGCGCCGCCGAGCGTGCCCTTGTGTGCGGGCCCCGTGAAAGCGCCGCCGCGGCCAAACAAACAAACAAACAAGCAGCAGGCGTTTCGGGCGTCGAAAGGGGCATACTGATGGTGCAGCGTTCTCCACGGAAGACGGCCAGCAAGATATGTCCTGGATAGAAATTGACTAGATCTGAAGCGGCAGGCCCAGGCTGCGGCGGATGATCCCCCACGGACCTTGACTAGACGCAAACGGCGTGATGCCTGTGATGGATGGATGGCTGCGCCGGCGCTGGCTGTGACGGGGCCATGGCTGGCGGTGCAGGCCGGGCGAGCAGGCCGGGCGAGCAGGGCGGTTGGGAGCAGAGGAGCGGAGAGGAGAGGCGAGGAGTCGTCAGGCTGACATGGCAGGCGGCACGTGACGTGGTTGGGCTGGGCGGGCGCACGGGCGCACGGGCGCTCGGCGACTCCCTCGCAGTCTTGTCTTGTCCTGTCTTGGGCGTGCTGCGCACCGGCGCCGTCTGCTTTGCTTGTCCGTCTCCACCACACCAACACAACACGGCAACCCCCCGACACCGCTCGACTGCCCGTCCGCCTCGCCCATCGCCGCCTCGCTCCACCGCCATCACCATCGCCATCACCATCACCACCCCCGACGCCGCCCCGCCCCACCAGCGCCCGCCACCGCACGCCTGCGGCCTCACAGCGTTTGCCGGCCGTTCGCCGCCATGAATGTACAATACCAGGCCTTCACGCCCCCTCACCTCTTGAACAACAACGCCCGCCGCTCGCCCACCCGCACCAGTATGTCCCTGAGCTGCCATGACGCCCGCCAATCCGCTAACCACCCGCTCCGCCCTGCAGTCCTCCCCCCCTCTTCAGCCGCCATGACGGGCCGCAAGCGCAAGGCCGACGACGAGGGCAGCGCTGCTGACGACGACCGCATGAGTGCATCGCCATCGGTGCCCCCTGCCACCCTCCCGCGCCCGCCGCCCCGGGGCATGAAGCGGATGCGAACCAACGTCTCCGGCCGCCCGCTCCCTCTGCCTCGCCTGCTGGAGACGCTCAGCGCCGACGAGATGCGGAGCCTGCTGCAGTCCATCTGCCAGCGCCACCCAGACATTGGCAACGAAGTCGTCACCACAGCGCCCCGGCCCAGCATCCAGTCCACCATGGAGGTCCTGTCCAAGTACGAGGCAGCGTTCCAGGCAGCATTCCCCTTTGGCGGCCGTGCGTCGTCGGACTATGCATACAACAGAGTCCGCCAGCAGCTGGACGAGTTGCTCGACTCGCTCAAAGACTTTACGCCTCATTTCCTCCCCCCACACGAGCAACAGCCTGCAACCTCGCTCGCCTTCCTCGATGGAGCCACCGACATCATCCACCGTCTTCCCAACTGGGATACCTACCAGCACAACCGCCACAAGCAAGAGGCATACGAAGAGGTTTCCAAGGCATGGGCGATTGTCATCCGCGAGGCAGCCAAGAGGGCAGGTGGTATTCAGCTCCAGTACGGCGGATGGGACCAGAAAATCGCAAAGCACAATGAGGTTTCGGGCGGAAAGATGCAGGAAGCCGTCAACGAGCTGCGTGGGGGTCTTGGCTGGATGGGCACCGAGACAAGCAATGCTGCCACGGCTGGCCCCGCCGATGCCATGTCAATTCGGCAGCAGCTTTTGAGCGGAAACTACGGCAGCGGCTCCCCGGCCAGCATTGGTGCTTGGTAGATGCTTCCCAGCCCTGACAGCATCGGCATCGGCATCGGCCTCGGCCTCGACCTCATACCCGCGGCAACCACTGCCGCCCACTTTCACCATCCACCTCGGCATTATTACCATCGCCATCTTCCAAAACTCACGGCCCGGTCACAACAGCGAATGACACCACTGTATGGAGGCATATTTCCATGATAACGACTACATAGCGTTTCTTTTGGTCTCTATTTACGCACAACAGCATCGGGCACATGGGCCTTTGATGCCATAGGCGTACTGGATGTGATATCTCGGCAAGCCTCAACTTCATTTCTGAGCCTCTTTCGCTCTCGGGGCGTAATGTTTTGTCATTAGTACATGTTGCGTATTTCTGCTGGGCTTCTCTGCAACGGATTGCGTTCTCTTTTTTTTGTAGCTGTCGCCATCAAGGGTCTGGATTGGAGAGCATCATGGATTAGGGAGGTGTTCGGTTCAGGGGAATCTTATCTGGAGTACGAGAGGAATACACCCTTGTATATACGAACTAGCAATTTCTTATGTGAATGTCAATTTATGTCCTGATTTCAAATGCATGCATCCAGTCTTGTGGTGACCTTTGTCTTTGTGGATGATTTGGTGCTTTACCTCCGGTCATAGAGGGAAGTCACGATGAACAGCCCAACGTCTACCTCACTGCTCACTTTCACTTCACCAGCATTAGTCCACCACACACAAACCCCGCGACACCCAAACTCGCCCCTCTTACCTCTGCGCAAATCAATCTTTTCTGTTGACCATGGCTATCCTACAAGAGTACCCAACCCTTCAGGTCAGCATCGTATGCGATGGCCTGGCACTACCAGAGTTTGACAACGACGAACATGAGATGCCCGGCGCCGTCACAAAGTATATCGAGGCAAAATCTACTGCCGAGTTCGCAGTGCAGTTCGACCTCTACAAGCCATACCCCGTCCATGCCATGAGCATCCAGCTCTCTATCGATGGCAAGCTTGTTCGCTCGCGCATCATAGGCAATCACCAATACAAACGGAGAACAGCAAGCGTGGCGAGAACATTCGACGAAGTCGTCTCCAAAATCGCTGACGGCCAATGTACAATCCAAAAGTTCTGCTTCTCCGAGCTTGAGATTGGTAAGAGACACGTCCTGGCTAGCTACCTCTACTCACACATTTAGATGACTCGGATAGCTGCGCGCTGGAGAGATCGACTCCCAAGGATCTACGCTCCATGGGTGTCATCACCCTCAGAGCATACTACATTTACAATCTTCGAGAAGTGCCTATGAAGGAGAGGACTGTGGACAGAAAAAGATACGACATGGGCCCAATATCAGAGAAGATGCTGAAAGGCAAGGCTCTTACGCACCGCACTGGGTATGTCCTTTGACTGACTTGAGAATGCGTGCTAATGTTAAGCCAGACTAGGTACAGCAGTCAACATGGCCTATGAAACAAGCCCAACTCATACGATATTCGATTACGTCGATCCTTACAGCATGCCTTTTGCTACTTTTCACTTCAAATACCGCTCCAGAGGTGTGTGTGGTTGAATGGTTCCAGTGTACCTAGCTAAAAGTTTGCAGCTGCCCTCCAGTCGCTACTTATCATCCCGCGCAGTCCCAGTCCTGACCCCCGCCAAGCAACGAATTCCAATGTTCTCAAGATGGATGAATTTCCGGAGTCACATGATCGAGAGGGTATGGCGGAGGATATGAAGCAGCAACTCGGTGTCAAGCGTGAGCATGGCGCTATTGGAAGTGATGACGAAGTAGTGTTTGTGTCTGCAACAAAACGCATTCGATATATGAATGGGGTGGAGCTTATTGATCTCACTTGATCTATCATATAGCGCCGCTGCGTAGCACCGAAGTCTCTATTGTTTGTTATGTTGCTACTTTGTCGGCATAGTAATCAGTCGAATCAAGTTGATGTACCTGTGTCTGACCATTGCAAGATCCAAAACCAACATGTTATTTATTGATTCCCATGAGTGGTTTGAACATACATACGAATGCAGCGGATTTCACATGGCAGTAGGAACATGAGAGGTTTCAAGATGAGCATGTAATTGCGAGAGTAAATTTGCAACTAAATCAGGCAACGGATATTCTGCGCATCCCCCTTTTGTTCCATCTTCTCGCCTTCTTTCTTGCTACTTGAGGCCTCAAACAAATTGCATGTATGAAACAAAGTCATACGTACAAGAAAAGTAGGATACTTGTGATATACATGCTCATGCACGTGATTCTACATCTATATCCCTTCTATATACAGCAGGATATCATATCTTACTGCTCTCGCCTATCGTCTATCGTGCACCCTCTTACAATGTAAAATCCATCTACGTTGACATGTCCAAATCACGTCTAAAACCTGTTACGTGCTATCTTCCCTCCCGGCCTCCTCTCATCATTTTCCTTTTTACACTTTCTCCTTTGGTTTCTCTTTTCTTTTCACTGTGCTTTCCTTTTTTTCTTCTCTTTCTAGTCACGAAACTGTCTCACTTGTCCTTGCCCTTGTGCTTTGCCTTTCGTTTTCTTTTTCGATTTTTTTTCTTTTTTTTTTCTCTTGCTTATCTGTTTTTCTTTGTTCCGGGTTCTTGTCAAGGGGCGATGAGGGAAATGTCGAGTGACGGCTGGAGTGGCGAGGCGTTTGTTATGAGACTGTTGATGGGGATCTTGTGGAGGAGGAGGAGGGGGGGGATGTATATCGGCTTGGTACAAGGAAAGACAGAGTGTAAGTAAGTATGGGGTGAGTGCTCAGTGCGTTGAGTGTACATATGCTTATTTGATTCTCCGCGGAGACTGCATTTGCTATAGTACAATCTCTACACGTATATATATATATATATATATATAGACCTGTAAATCCCATAAAATCGGACATATGATTGTATGATTGGAAAAAAAAGAATCAAAGAAAGGTTGACTCTGTGTCTCTAGTATCTATCTAACCAAGACTATCAACAGGTATATACCATGGGGTTTCCTATACCTGTTCCCTCGATACTCTTACTTTACACGTACATGTACTTCCAATCCCAAGTTCACACATGTCCAGGTCCCTTTGAAAACCCAGGACACACGCATAGCTATAGCTATAGCGATACCAAGACGACAAGCAAAAGGATATGTGCATGCATGTCGCATACCTATCCACCCATTCATCCATGCATACATGCATACACACACAGACACAGATGTGGATGTACATAGTCCCCATCCCCACATGACGTCAGCGCCACGCTATCTCCGCCCCAGCCCAAGGCCAAAATCCAAAATCATCCAATCGGGTACTCCGGCTACCGGATACCGGGTACTCTAAACTTAAACTTAAACCTACGTACACGTACACGTGCACGTACGTAGGTTGGGCTATGGCCATGATGTTCCCTGTTGTACACCTATCAATAACGATAACTACTACATACTGAGACGTGCCATTTAACAACTCAGACTGACGCTTGCACAGAGATGGAGACGGAGATGGGAGATTTGCGCTGAGACTACTTGGATACTGGCGGGAACAAGTATCAGTCAAGTGTCTACATACAGTACGCAGATACATGCACACGTCAAATGCAGTAAGTAGGTAGGTAACCCCCAGCTCATACCAGTCCATGCTAACACGCACTAACGCCGCCATAGCGCCGCCACATCCGTCCTCGGAACAAAGCATATATCTCACAATTCATGCTCATACTTGATTTTTGCGTCGTCTTGGCTAGACTAGTACTAGGTGGTTAGCTACATGGTTAGCTACAGGGCTAGTTGATACGTTATTTTAGTTGGCTGGCTTGGATGCAAATGACATCGGCATGGTGCATGGGGGGTGTCCGACAGACAGGCTTGCAGCTTGTAGATTTACTTGGTGTAGTGCAGCGGGATTTCTTGTTTCGAGCGGTTTTTTCTTAGGGGACGCACAACGAGAGGAGAGAATACGGGGGTGGATATCTTGGTAATGCTGGTGGCGGACCCGAGTACATACGCCACGGCATGGCACGGCACGCGTTTTTCCGGTCAGCCATGTATCTGTGTATGTATGTTTACATGCACGTGTGCAGATAGAGAGGGCGTAGATCTATCAGATAAGAGGTTAAAAAAAAAGTAAAAGGGAATTCCTTTTTTATCAATAGTACCAGCAACGACAGCAAGGTGAATTACGTCTTGTATTAAGCAATAGGCTGGTCATGCCGTCTAGTTGTCCAAGTATTTATGTATTAACGGTGCCGTGGGCGCCATAGAGTCTGTCATCATCATAACCATCGTCATAGACGAGTTCCACTTGGCAGCGTCGTGGGCGTGCACGCGGCGCCCAATAATCGTTACGTCGTTGATTGTGTGGGAATGACGCCTGTACCCTCGAAGCCGATGCAATGCATATGCGCTATGTACGTGTGCGATGCAAGAAGAAAAGAAATAATGCGGGAGTAATGTGGTGTAGGAGATTCGTGGACTGCGTCAAGTATGGGGTGGTTCAGGGCGGAAGACTGCTCGCTTAGCCCTCTTCAGGTACTGGCTCTTTGCTCTGGAGTCGTGTCTCCCGCGTCGTTCTCCGGATGTAGGCCTGGAGAGAGAACATGGTTAATACTGTGAGACCGAGGACCATCAGAATGATTTGCATCCATTTGACTGTCACCTGCTACGACGTTAGCAAATGTCGTAACAACATTGTGCTGGAGACTGACGGCTTCGCTGCAGGCTATACTGGCATTGTTCTTGTCGGAACCGCGGATAAAGTTGGGCTGATAATGGCATGCTCCCATTTCACGAGTGCAGTACACGTTCGAGTTCATTTTCCCACTCATCATCAGCCTTTCGTGGGTGCAGCCCCATTTGTCGTTGCCCTGTTTTGTGTAGTGCAGGGCGAGTGACACCATAGCCATGACGGCGCCGGCAATAGACATGAAGACGATGCTGAGGATCCAGAATCGGCGTACAGACTACCAGCGTCAGGGTTGTGCTATCTCTCACAAGGAGATACCTACCGCATTAATTACCGAGTCCATGCCTGGCTTCCGCAAGGTGCTCCACGCGATAAGGGCTATGACGGCGGCCGCCAGATTCAAACATCCCGAAACAACAGTGGCATCGGTATCGGCGTCGGTAAAGTAGACAATGGTTTCATCCGTCACGTAGCGCTGCAGGCGGTCGTCGAATTGGTCCGTCACCACGGTAAGGCCTCGGGGCACAATCCAGTCGGTCAGGATCCAATAATGCGTCGTCAGTGCCACGGCGACGAGGGAGATGAGAAAGTAGATTATCGACGGGACCAGGGCAAACTTGAGGATGCTGTCAAAGCGTAACATGTTGGCGATGGAGGAGCAGGAGTCGAAGCTGCACGGCGGCAGACAGCGACGGTGCAGAGGATATCCAGGTTGCCAGGGTCGCTAACAGCAAAAAGAACAGCGGCCGGGGCTGCAGCGTGTATGTACCAGGGCACGGGTAGCAGGTATCTAAAATAAGGCGCGACACTGGCCCGTTTCCTGCTTGGGGGCATATTGCAACGCCCAAGACGGAGGGTCGATGGGTCGTCTAGAGCTCGGCACACCGCCGTGACCCGCTCTTTGCCATGCTCCGCCGTGTCAGCGCAATGCAGCGCTATGCTGCAACCATTGTAGTCCCACACGCGGCGAGCCATTGGACACAGCCAAAAGGGCCTCTCCGAGGCGCGCTCTTGGCGAGATATGTTGCGCGCTCCTCTTTGGGTCAATGTGCCCGTTAGCAGAGCGCCTTACTGCCGCTCGACGCGGCCGGGGACGCACATGGGGCGATGGACGGCCGGGGGGCCTTCTGGGTGCCAGCGTGGATGGGCCCCGGTGCATATGGGGGGGGGATGAGTTGGTATCCGCAGGAAACGGGTGCGAGCCGGGTCGTGGGCGGCCATGGATGGAGCGTGTGAATGGCGCAGGCAAAGGGTTGTGTGGTAGCAGGCCAAACGTCATGATACCCCGCGAAGGAAGGCCGTGCAAATATTGCCAAGCCCCACGCTGCTCTCCGTATTGCCGTTTAGCCCGACTGGAACTGCCTGTGGCCGGTCTGCGTCGCTGCTGGGCTGGCCGGCGCTGGGATGAGGAGGCTGGTTGGCAATCGACGCAGGTACACGGTGGAGCCGGCGACAGCATCGACATGGCTAGTCGCGTTATGCGCCCTGCAGCGCTGAAGTGGCACGTCGCTCAGTCTCACACGTCTCTCCCTTGTGCTTGTACCCTCTGCATGCCGGCCATGCCCATGGTCCGTGCCACCCGCCCCTTTGCGAGGCCATCTCGCTCCAACCAGCACAGAAACATGTCGAAACATGCTCCAAGCGCCTCCAGACGTCTTCGTGCACCGTACCCTCTGTCGTCGGAGAATTCCCGCACTTCGCCGTCGGCCTGATCCGAATGAACGCACGTGTCAGTACCCGCCTTGGACCCGGTGAATGTGGTACATATATTACCCGGCTGCTGGAAACGGCCTTTGCCCCTTGGCCCTGAATCTTCGTCTTCCACCGTTTCCCGACGCCTTGGATGCTGCTGTCATGCTCTTGTGGAAAGATTGGGACAGTTCGAGAGGAATCGTGTCTTCGTTACTCACAGCCTAGGTGCTACATCTCTTTGGCCACTTCAGGGGCAAACTCGTCCGCTGTTATCTGCCCATCTTTCCCTGCCATTTATCCCTCATAGGGCACGTGAGACTTTAGCTCTCACTACCGACGCGTCACCGTAGATAGCATGCTCTCGCTCTACATTCCTGCCATCACTGCTCCTCCTCACCACCCGGGCCTCGTTCATGCTATCGGATCTTGTCGGACTCTCAGGGGCATGGGGCAATGCTGACAGTCCGCGAGGTACATCGGCAGTCAACCCAGCCCCTAATGGATTTGGATCGACGTAGAAGATCAGGTACGGCAGAGTAGCACCAACTGGCTTGAAGGCTCTGACCTTGGAAATGAAGCGGTTGCCACCGAGTTTCTCCTTGTGCTGCAGGAGAAAGTATCCAGCCCATCTTCCAATCGGTGACCCTGCCGCCATGTTAGAATCAGCCACTCAGCTACCCATACTTGACTGACCCAAGATGGCCCGGCCGCCAGTAGTATCCATGGTGAAATCGCTTCCCGGCCAAATCTTCGTCTCGCTCTGAGGCGGCTGCAGTGTCCCAAGCGCCTGTCTGATAAGCTCTCGAGACGCTGCATTCATGATTTGTGTGACAACAAGGTACTTGACATCCGCAATGCTAGCCGCGCCGGCTCGATTCCAAACTGCCCATGCGATATCCGAAGGTGTGCCAATGTGAGGCAGCTCGTCGGGACGTGGCTTGCGGAACCAGGTAAATCTCTCGGCGCAGTACGACAGACTCATGACGTTCATCAACGCGACCATTCCGCCTGGATTGACAGCAAACTCGAATGTGCCTCCGGTGGCCTGTGATCCAAGGTTAGTAAGCCATATTGGAGGTGCCGACCCGAAACCATACCCTGTATTCCCTGCCGCACACTTCATAGTACTGGTTTGCTTCGCTCGGGAGCGAACCGTCAGGCAGTCTTTTGATAGCAGGGCCGTTCCGGTGATCAATCTGGATACATTTGTTTGGTCCACCATCCTTCTCTGCCTTTGTATCCAGGCCTAGCTCGTCAAAAGCAGCCTTGATGTTGTGGTACTTGTCAAAGTCACAGTCCTTCTCGATCGTCTTGCTCAGTGCCTCGCTATCTTCGAACCCCCACTTCTTGAGCTCCTCTCGTCCATCGCCATCAAAGGGACTCTGGCATGTCTCGCTAAAGTTGGGAAAGTCTTTGAAGAACCACCGAGCGATGCTGTCCTTGGACTTCATGGCTGCATCGAGCGTGCGTCCGATTTCTGCCGCCTTTTCGAACTGGGTGGGCTCGGTGTTGGTGTGTACTGTAGCTTCCGGGCTCCAGTCAAGGGAGATATCATCGGAGAGAGGACTGTCGAGACGTTCCAGTGATGCGTTAGAGGGGACGACACCAGCGCTCACCAGAGCGACTATCAACACAGCAGGGATGAAGTGAAGCTTCATCTTGAACTGGAGAGATGGAGGTGGTATTGCGAGGAGATCTGTGTTGATTGTTGTGTAGGAAGTGGAAGCAGATCCACTACAGGTGTGTCTCGGCTGGGTGAAGTGAAGGCAAGAGCGATCCATACAGTGAAGGTAGGGCCAGGAGCCATTGTCCAATGGTTGAAATCCATTGCAGCTTGCGAGTGATTGCAATAGTAACACCACGAATTCATAACGCAGTAGAGTACATTATACGAAACAGTAAGGCACTGTACAGCACATGGATATGTACATCAAGATCAAGTTATTTACTTTATGAGTGATTTTGACATGCTGACGCAGCGGCTTGCACAACGCACTACATTAAGAACATATTATTTTGATCAAATCTATGTCTATACAAAATCAAACACGTCCCCCTTATCCGAAATCATCTTGCCTACTCTTTTCGTGCCAACAACTCTCTCCAACTCCATCTTCTCCCACTTTGAAAAGCACACCCTCACGTTCGCCTCTGCCCGACTAATTTCCGCCCGTTCCAGCGTCTTGCCAATGAAGCCCACTACCTCGTCGTAGAAGATTGGGTTCTCAGGCACGCCGTAGAACACCACCCTCTTTACCCCACGCATCTTGTACCTGTGGAAATGGTGTGCACGTCCCGTGTACAGTAGCAGCGAGTGCTTGCCGTTCATGAAGTGGGAGCGTGCTTTGCGCACGTCAGTGGCGTCGGTGTATTCGCTAATCGAGGCATAGGAGAAATCAGAGTCGACAAGCGAGTTGCGGACGCGGACAAAGTCCAGGTAGGACGGGATAAAGACGAGTACACCCAGACCGCCCTCGAGTGGTTTTGGCAGGCGGTTGATGGACGGCAGGATGGACGTGTTGAAGTATTTGAAGCGCGCGTCTGGGTCGGTAAGATGGGATGGCGAGTCGAAGCGCAGGAAAGTCTGCTTCACGCCGTAAGACATGGTTTCGATAAGACCGCTTGTGTGGTCGGCCGTATATTTCAGACGCCCAGCCACATTACGCATGTGCTTGTTATAGAGAGTGTTGATCTTTGGCGTCAGGAATGCGGATAGCACAATAGTTTGTCGAATGTTTGCTGCGTGTCCGTCCAGATACCATGACCGCACTCGCGAGAAGTCACAGCCATGGGCATCCTTTGGTTGGAGGTTCAGATGCTCAAACACATACTCTGTGTGGTCCCAGTTTTGCATCAGCGTAGCGTCTGCCTGCTCCATGACGACCATTTCAATCGACGATAGGAAATCGTAATCTCGCTTCTTCGGGTCCCCAGACTCAATTGCTCGGCGTAAACCCAGCGTGGAGGCAAATATGATGTCGGAGTTGTAAAAAGTCGAATACAGTTTTAGTGTCTTGCGTGTCAGCTTGACGCCAATGCGGAACTCGTTCTCGTCATTGCCCTCGAAGAGTTCTCGGAAGTCTGCGGGTTTGTCGTCGGAGAACTTGTCTTCTGGCAGTGAGAAGCTTTCAAGGAATCGCTTCTTGTTTTCCTGCTGCTCAAAGTCGTATAGTTTGGTAATGGAGTCCAGTGCGCGCACGCAAGCCTGTTTCGTCTCCAGAAGGAATAGAATCTTTGGGCGCGTGAAGCCCTGGTCGCGGTATTCGCCATCGACGTCGTCCCCTGCGGCTGCAAGCTTCGCGTTGTTCTTCAGCACTCGATCTCGCGTCATGAGGATGTGGTTGAGCGCATGCAGACAGGTCATGTCGCGAAGACGGCCGGCGTTTTGTACTGTTCGCGCGCCGAACAACAGGTCTTGGTAGCCGAAGAGCGAGGGGGCGATGGTTTGTTCGACTTGGTCAAAGTCTCCGATTTTCTTGTGCGCATTCTCCACCAGCCGGGCCTTTAGTTGGACATCGCGGGTGCTCTTGACTTTGCGAGTCAGTGGCTGGACCTCATCGCTTGGGACTTGAAGAACGCCGAAGCCCTTTGCCTTGGCTGACGCATTGTGCAGCTTGTGCGACGACCACTGGTTCGCCGCTATGCGCTTCAGCCGTGACGCCAGCTCGTTTTCATCTGGGTTTGCAAAGTGCTTTTCGTATGCCTTTTCCAGCTCTTGTTCTGTGTCGTCTGCGTCCGAATCGCCTTGCTCTGCGTCATCTCCAATATCCTTACTGGCTTCTGACGAGGCGTCCTCCTCTGCAGGTGCATCTTTTTCTGGGGCATGTTCGTGTTCGAGCTTCCGCCTCTTTTTACGGGGCTCGCCGGAGCCGGCATCGCGCGTCGAGAAGGACTGGAGAAGGGCTGCATAGGCGTTGGCAGCTGGCTGGGATTCTTCTTCTTCTTCTTCTTCTTCGTCGTCGTCGGACACAGCATCGGAGGCTTCAGACTCGCTCTCAGAGTCGGACGGTTCGCGCATATCCACATTGCTTGGTCAGTCAGCAGGTGGTTATTCTCTCTGTCGAGACTATCCGTACTCACGAATCTGGGACATCGTCTGTGGTCCTTGCAGCAGCGAAACCGCCTCTGCTGCTTGCTCTTGCACCGCCTCTTGCGCCTCCTCTTGCGCCTCCTCTTCCGCCTCCTCTTCCGCCTCCTCTCCCGCCTCCTCTGCCCCGAAATCCCCCTCGGCCTCTGAAGGGCGCCATAGTCGCTGCAGCGGAATGCGCGGTCGATGCGGTCGATGCGGTCGATGCACCGGTCACCAAATTAATCGCAGAGGTGAATCGAAGACGACGAATTCCACAGTGCTACAGTATAAAAGGACCCCGTTGAATAAAGCGCCGTCAATGCTGAACCCGCGCGCAATGGACGTTGTTGGCGCATGGGCGTCAGGCAGGCCGAGTCCCGCCAGAAAATATATCCATGGCCCGTGCAAGCGAAGCGCACCTGCCCAGATTTCGTGAAGAATATCGTCGAGCCCCACCAACGACATCGACATCTCGATAGCTGCAGCGCCTCAGCACCGGCACGACTCCCTCGACTCCCCCGCCCGTCCCCATCTCCGCCGCTCGACACAGGCACCATGGCCGAAAACGACTCCTTCCTGCATCTCGCGCGCCCGCTCGGCCCAGCGCCTCTGGGTGCGCAGCCGTCGACTGCCCCGCTCAACGTCGCCATCCAGCCCCAGGTATGCGACCACTGCAGTGAGAGGCCGCCCGCTTCGCTCTCTGACACGCTGTGAACAGGCCGTCTTCTCCATCCTCGACCACGCCCTCCGCCGCCCCGCCGACCAGGAGCGCGTCATCGGCACCCTGCTCGGCAGCCGCAGCGAAGACGGCACCGAGATTGAGATTCGCAACTGCTACGCCGTCCCCCACACCGAGACGGCCGAGCAGGTCGAGGTCGACATGGACTACCAGAAGCAGATGCTGGCCCTGCACCTCCGCGCAAACCCCCGCGAAGTCCTGGTCGGTTGGTATGCCACCAGCAGCGACCTCAACACCTTTTCCGCCCTCATCCAGAACTTCTACAGCCAGCAGGGCGACGGCACATGGCCACACCCCGCCGTCCATCTGACGGTGTCGACGGTCCCGGGCCAGGACATTGAGTCCAAGACGTACATCTCGGCGCCAATTGGCGTCACGGCCGAGCGTGCGGCCGACTCCTGCCTGTTCATTCCCGTGCCCCACGAGATCAAGTACGGCGAGGCCGAGCGGTCGGGTCTGGAGCTCATTTCATCGGCAAAGGACAGCGAGGGCCGGTCACAAGAGGTCATGACGGACCTGGATTCGCTGGAGCGCGCCATCCAACATGTGCTGGACATGCTTGAGCGGGTGTCCAACTACGTTAACAATGTCTTGGACGAGGAGGCCGAGCCCTCGTCTGCACTGGGCCAGTTCCTGATGAACGCACTCAGCCTAGCCCCCAAGGTGGAGCCGACCGACATTGAGCGCGACTTGTATGTTTGTGGATATCTGTCATTGGCCCTGCTAACGTGAGCAGCAACGCACACATCCAGGATGTCCTGGTCGTATCATACCTAGCCAACACGATCCGCACGCAAATCGACCTGTCCAACCGGCTTGCAACGGCTGCGCTAACAATGGGCGGCGGTGATGTGCTCGGCGGCGATGGCAAGAAGGAGGGCGAGAACCGAAAGGGCGGCGACCGACGGGGCGGCAAGGGAGGACGGCAGCAGAGGGAACCAGAGGCTTGAGGCGGGCTAAAAAGGACATCACATTGCAAGGAGTTTGGCGTTTGGCTAACGCGGTATTGTAGACGGAGTGCATTCGTCTAGCAACGGCGTGGAAATGGCCTTTCAAGACGCTTCTGATTGAGCAGATGGAGGTGGGAGGGTGGATTTGACATTCAACCCCCCAAAGCGCCGTGACGAGCCGTGACGAGCAACATGACGCACAGCATGATGACTGCTCGTCGAGCGTTGTATAACTAGTTTTGCTTCATGGCAGCAGAAGCACTAGTGCGCTTAAGCGCATCTACATTACGCAATGTTACTGCCTTGACTTGTGCCGTGCTGTGTAGCGGAATGTGTCTGTGGCTAAGATGCGTCGTGTAATGGTGGTGGTGATGGTGGTGTCTGTGAATGTGTGTAGTCGTCTGGCCATATCTCGCACTCATCCACTCCTCACGGTACTCGCATCATCGCCGCCATCTCTCTTCTTCTTCTTTTTCTTCCTCCTCCTCTCCGCCTCGGCCTCACCATCCACACTCTCGGCCTCACCCGCCTTCTTCTTTGCCCTCGCCATCTTCGCATCGCCAGCATCCGCGCCATCTCTCTCCCTCTCCCTCTCCCTCTCGCGATCCCGATCCCGATCCGCCAGCACAGCGCCCTCATCTGTATCAAACGCCTTCCTCTTCCGCTTCAACTCCTTGTCCGTCTCCAGCATCTCGCTCACCCGGCCCAACTTGCCCGTGTCGCGTCGCAGCATGAATTTAAAGTCGTCCAGCTTGATCTTGGCGCGCCGCGCGTGGTGCGCTACAGACGCTGCTTCGTGGCATGTTTCGATAATGTAGTCGGTGATGATTTCGTCGAGCACGCGCACTGTTTCGGGCAGCGGGTAGTCGTTGTCGCCGAAGGCGAGTAGGAAGGCTTCTACTGCTATGTGTTAGGATGTGTGGAGGTGAGATGGAAATGCAGGTGGGCGCGTACAGTCTTGAGTAGGGAATTGTTGGCCTTTTTGGCGCAGGCGCATGCGCGGTTCTGTCATGCTGTGTGTATGTGTGTGTTGTTGAATCGCCCTGTGTTGTCCCGTCGCTCAGTCTCTCACTCTCTTCCAATAAGCCCGTCCAATCTCCTATCCACGCGTGGAGCGATTGGAAGTTGAAGAGGGCTGTCTGGGAGAGTGTTAGTTTTGGATGTACATGATGTGACTGTGGATGTGGATATGTATGCAGAAGGGGATGAGCATGGAGAGGGGGGGATGTAGGATGCAGACGGGGTGTGCATAAGGATTGCGAAAGAGGTATTTGGGTATTCCTACCATTTTTCCGATCTTTCTCGCTGTTTACCGTACACGGAAATATCCTCAAGTCTTGCCTCCGTATATGCGTGTGTGTGTGTGTGTGTGTATGTGTGGATGAACAGTGTAATCGCAGTCGCAGTCGCATCACAACCAGCCAGTCGTAATGTGGCTCTCCCGCGCGCAAACAAGGCCCATGCGTCGCCCGCAATGACGGAATCGGGTCTTGTTTTCTCCCTCTCACTCACTTCCCCCCCCCCCCGGTCAGCGGACGCGGTATAACAGCGCTGCGACGACGAAAAAAATCATACAAATACAAATACAACTAAGATTGCACGAGAGCGCACGGTGTGCCGGATTCGTCCTCGTCATCCTGCTCGTCATCTGCACGTCGACATACGCGCACTCGGTGTTCCCCGGCATCATCGACCGCAACAAGGACAACTGGATTGTGTCGCCGCTGTGGAAAGCGGCGCGCGTGGGCGAGCGACTGAGTCCGTATGTGAGTATTGCGTGTGTGGTTATGGCGGTATGTATATGTATTTTCCTGTTCCCCCCCCCCTTTCTCGCTTCTTGGGTTGAGGTATTGCTGGTGGTGGTGGGTGAGGTGCGGAATGCGAGACTGATGAATTGCGAATTAGGCACTCGAGTTTATGGGGTAAGTGTGATGTAGGGGGTCGCTGGGACGGGGTTCCTTGGAGGACATGGGAGGGGGTGGATGTGAGGAGCTGCTGGGTTGGAGTGGCAGATATGGAGTGAGGCGTTGGGGATTTTGCTTGCGGGTCGTTATGCAACAGTTTGTCATCAGAATGACCGTATAAGAATTATAAGATACGATGAGTAGAGTATAAATGCGAATGACAGTACAAGTGTAACACTGTACAAGCTAACATGACAACCATAGTGTATTGATTATGACATATAACAAGTATACTATAAAAATCACAGTAACAGTAGTAGTTACAACACAATCATAGACACTAGATCTCACATCAAGTATAAATGAAAATGACAGCATAACAATTACACAATACAAGTGTAACTTGAGAAACGGTACAAGCAATCATCACATGGATACATGACAGAAGACTGACAGATGATTCAATACGTCATGGATTAGTATATACAGTGGAGCTTTTACACTCGCAACTTTTGCTGACCAGCCCAGTCAGCCGTGTATGGGGCACAGCAGTGTACCAGCACCCTTATATCCTTTCTAACCCACACCGGAAAGTTTCAACCAGACACCAATGTTCCATACAGGGGATGATAATACACGACGTTTCCAGCGCCTACTCCACACCTCGTGAGGCGCGCATGAGATGAGATGTCTGACTGATTTTGGACAATCGTGAACAAACATGAAAGCTCAAAGCTGAAAAACTGAAAACGGATAGACTGAAAAGACTGAAGAACGGCAAAAAAAACAAAAAAAACAAAAAAGAAACAGAACAATTCCCATGTCCTGATCAGCAAGCTTCCCCGTCCATTGCTGGCACCCGTGTATAAAGAAGTAAGCCGCCAAAGAAAGAAGAGGAAGAAAAAAAAACATCAATATCGTGTTGAAAAAAGGGGGGAGGAGAAGAAGAAGAAGAAGAAGAAAGAAATGACAGGACAACCGGACATGACACCAAAAGCCGGACCTAACTCGCTTTCATGTTCAATGTTCACGACTACCCTCTCCTTTCTCAAAACACCCGTGGATGGCGGGCCGAGAACCCCGGCGTTCTTGCACACCTTCAACGTCGCTCGAGTCCTCGACCATGACGTGATCGTCAATAGCAAGGTCAGGCTGGCTATGCGCATCGTCTGCATCATCGTCGTCGTCGTCGTCATGGTCGCTAACTAGACCCGGATTCGACTCGACGGTGTTGGGGCTGAGGTCTATGGGCGAGCCTGGCAGATGGTCGTCGCCTTCAGACTTTGCGGGAGACGGCAGAGACATGTGCAGGCGCGTTTGACTTGGATGCGAAGAGGCCTTCTTGCTACCTGCTCTTGCGGGAGTTTTGCTTGCAGGTGCGCTGGCAGGCAGACGGGCGAGATGCGGGGCCGACGTGGTTACAGGGGTGGGGGCAAGGCTGTTGTCGGCACTGTCGTCATCCGAAGTATCAATGGCATCCAAGTCGATCTTGGCCCGGGCCGTGTCGACGAGCTCCTTGAAGTCGCCGTGGGCGCCGCTGTTGTGAAAGCGGGCTGCCAGGTAGGGCGTCGACGATGACTTGAAGCTAGCTGGCGTGGCAGACTTGGATTCGCCAGGCAGCGAAGTGTTCAGGTCACGGTGCACTTGTGGAGCCTGTGCAGGGGGAGCAGCGTGCGAAGCGAGCGGGTGGACAATACCTGGAGTAGCCGGGACGGGAAAAGACACTGTCGGTGTAGCCGCGGGTGTGCTGGCGGGCTCCGTTGCGGCAACCGGATTTGCCACTTCGGCAGACTCGACGGGCACGCCGCATGCTATGGCAGCAGCGTCGTGGCTCTTGAAGACCTGGTTGTGCTTGATGCGGCAGTGGTTGAGGAAGCCCTGCGTGTTTGAAAAGTTGCTGTGGCCACACTGGGCGCAGTAGAGGCGCACCCACTGGCCGTCGGTGGAGCGCTTGTGCAATAGGGGGTCGACCTTGGGGGCTGGGGCTGGAGTTTCACCAAGAGGCGTGAGCTTCAACATTCCAGTCGAAGTTCGCGACGTGCGGCCTCTGTGAGCTGAGCCGTAGTCAGCAAAGCTGCCGCGCGTCGTCCTGCCCTCACCATGGCCAAAGTAACCGTGAGCCTGCTGGGCAAGCGCACGCTCGGAAACAGGGTCAAACTTGACGTCCGAGATGAGCCACTTGGCGTAGTGACGGGTGTAGGGCCCGTCGGTCACTCCCCAGGGCGCAGCGTACTGGGGCTGCGTGTAGCCCGGGGTTGGCTGCAGAGACGGGCCCACGCCCAGGCTGACGCTTTCACTGAGGCCGTCGGTGCCGGGGAAGGGAATCAACGAGCAGCGGCGCAGTTGCTCGAGCGAGACCTGGCACTTGGCCAGCTCCTGCTCGATCAAGCGCAGCTCGTTGTGCTTGAGCAGGATCTCGTAGTTGATCTGGGCCTCGATGGCCTGCTGCACAGGCGTCAGGGCCGAGTCCATGGTGGTGGCGGGCGTGGTGGAAGAGGCGGCCTCGGAATGTTGCTTGCAGGCGTTGGCAGAAGGGCTGCCGGCGGTCGGCTCTGGTTTGGCAGGCGCGTGGTGGGACTTGAGGGCCCTGCTCTTGCTGGTACTTGGGCTCTCTTTCTTGGCCGCGTGTGCAGCGGCAGCAGTGGCAGCAGTGGCAGCCGCCGCCGCCGCCGGGCGCGCACTCTCGACGGCACTACTCGGCTTCACGTCACCGTGGGCGTCTTTCCATTTCTTCACTACATGCGCATGCTGCGCGGGCGACGGCTCGGGACTGTCTGTCCGCTTCCGCTTGATCTTGTTCATAAAGTTTGGCATGTCGACGACGGGCAAGGGTCTTGACTTGTGCAGGGCAGACTTTTCCATGAGTTTGTCGCCGGGCGACTCGTTACACCAGGGGAGGCGGAACATGGACTGCATGGTGAGTACAAACGGGGAGGCCTAAGAGCAACAGCGGGCATCTGTCGTGGTGAGGGGCGAGTGCATCCAGGTGCGTGCAGAGGCGGGCAGGCAGGCAGGCAGGCTAGCAGCGGGCTGCCGAATGACGTTGCAGCGGCGGCGGGAGGAGCGACAGCAGCAGCAGCAACAGGCGGCGGCGGCGGCGGCGGGAGGAGCGACAGCAGCAGCAGCAACAGGCGGCGGCGGCGGCGGCGGACGGGCGCAGCGCAGCGCAGAGTCGCGGGCCCAAAGCTGGGGAATGAGGGGAATATTAAATAAGGGAATAGGGGGGGAGGGGTGTGCGAAGGAGTGCAGGAAGAGAAAGCAACAAGCAGTTCAGCCGTTGAGATGATGACGTGGAGGGCAAGAGGCGCGAAGATCGGCCGCTTGATAAGGGAAGAAAACAAGCGCACCAGCACGACGTGGTGCGGATTACAGGTGAGTCGCGGGGGGGTTGCCTGGTGGCAGGCGCGTGGTTGGGCGGTAAATAGCAGCAGAAGCAGCAGCAGCAGTGGTAGAAGAAGAAGACGAGGGGTTTGGGGGCGGGATGTTTGAGGCGGGGAGGGATGTGGTTAGAGGGAGAGAAGGGCGAAGAGAAGGGCGAAGAGAAGGGGGGGTGGTTAGTGGCAGTGGTAGTGGTAGTGTTGGTGGTGGTGGTGGTGGTGGTGGAGGGGAGAGGGAGGGGGGGCAAAGAGGGCAGCCAGGCGGCGATGATGTTGTGATGAAGGGCGACGGGGCGACAACGAAGGTCTTGGGGGGGGGCAAGTCTGAGAGCGTTTCCGCAGGTATGGGCTGCACCAAGCGGCGCTAGCAGGGACACCCCTGCGGACGGGGTCCCGATCGGGGCTGGCGTGGCTTGCCGGGGCGTCTCAGAAGGAGAGGCGATGCGGCCAAAGCAAAAACGGAGGCGCAAAATAGCAAACATTGGTACATGTGCCATGGCCCACGGGCTGCCTCTCCCTGCCGCTTGACTGGCGATGGCCATGCCATAGTCGCTGCGTCGTGGGCGGTGATGGGCGGTGATGGGCGATGATGGGCAGCCCACACAAGGTTTGCTTTTTTGGTCGCGCAGACACCATCCATGGCATCGCCAGTCGAGTCGAGTCGAGTCGAGTCGTCGCCGCCGCCGTGGCTGCCAGCAAACGTCTAACGACTCAAGTTCTGTCTCAGCGGCCTTGTGTCATGGCTGCCGAGCGTGTGGGGACCTCGCTCGCTCCCTCTCTCTCTCTCCCTCTCTCTCTCACACACACACATACTATACGCATTTCCAGCTACCCTCGCCCGCACGCACTCACTTGCTCACGCATCCACGCACCGCTCGCGCATGGCATGGCACGGCAGGCCAAGCATGTGCGGGCAAGCTGTGGGCAAGGCGCGATGCGAGTGTGCTAGGCGGGTGCGGTGCGGAAGCGTCCGGATCAGCAAATGAGAGCATCTTCAGGAGCCTTGTTTGGAGAGGGAGCTGCGAGGGCCGTCAATAGTTGCTAGAGAAACACGCGTAAGCTGCTTCCGGTGAGGCGACGAGGCATCTCTTTGCGCACTCACTCACTGCTCTCTGCCTGTGCTGGACGCGCATGTGCCAAGCCAGCCACGCTCGACGCAACCCACCGCCACCCCAGCTGAAACATCCTCAACACCACAACCACGCCCGCCATGCTTCTGCCTCTGCCTCTGCCTCGCCCTCGCCGCCCCGCCTCGTCTGCCCACGTGACGCGTCCACTCTCAGCACACCGGAACCGCACACACACTCTCTCTTTCTCTGACTGTCATGCGCTATGCCGCCCCACGCTCACCACGACTGGCTCTCGTGCTCGGGCGCACAATGCCCCGGAAAACGTCTTTTGTCATGCCCATGGCGATATCAAGCACCATCAGCCTGGCTCTCATTCCAACTCTCACTCTAACTCTCACTCTAACTCTCACTCTAACTCTCACTCTAACTCTCACTCTAACTCTCACTCTAACTCTCACTCTAACTCTCACTCTAACTCTCACTCTAACTCTGGCGCTGGCCTCGTCGGCTCCCAGGGCGGCGGCTGCCTGTCCGTCTCCGGTTTGACCCGTGCTTAGGCCGCGACAAGTCCCGACGCCCATGCCCCTGCTAGCCTGCTAACCACTCTCCAGTAGCTCCACCCATGACGCCCGGCCAATCACCAGGACGAATCGCCCTTTGTCCCCCATCCGTGCAAAAAGAAACCGCAAAGCTTGGATATATTGCCGCTCTATTCTAGTCCGAGTAATCATACGGAGGTGCCTCACAAAAGTTTTGTCCCACGCTAATCTCGGCGCTTCGGCATAACTCTTCTTGGCGCAACTCCCACCTTTGAGCTGAGTAGCTGTACGATTTGTCTGTATCTATCGTTACAATGTCTCCTAATACTGATCCTTACACCCGCACCTTAATTGTGGCGTTAAAGTCACCTTCTGTTGGCAAGTCTACATCACAGATCTCTGAACTTACTGGTGTTCATCCTCGTACGGTCAATCGTATCTATAGTAGAGCTATTGAGGCTGGTTTCGAGCCAAACGTTCTCCCTCTTAAGATCCTCCCAGAGCACGTACAAG